ATGAAGCAATGAACTGCCAAGAGTGGAGGCCAATGAATCTTGCTCATCTCTGGGACCTGAAGCTGGTGTTTCTCCCACTAGACAGTTCTTGTACAGCTGCCTCACAAGCTCCACTGAAGAACCCATATCCCTCCCAATTGTATTTGACCTTTATTTCTTCCATTCACACACAAACACCCCCTGACATCTAGGGTGACCTTTAGGCTCTGGTCACTTGGTGGCCAGCCCTCTGTGAGTTGTTGTGTTTAGAATTTTGCTACCAGTCAACAGATTGACCCAAACTGGTTTAATTAGTCTCAGTCCATCTTCCTGATCTGCTGAAATCCACTTGACTTCCAGGCCATTTAAGCTTACAGGGTAATAGACATATGATTTAGATACCTGATGACTATAGTTACTCTAAAAGTCAAGAGTCTTTTGCTAACTGAACAACCACCTTCCTTGGTGGTATTGGTGACCTCTAGGGTGCCCTTCAGGCTCTGGTCACTTGGTGGCCAGAAACAAGCATTGTCTGGACCAAGAATGACTCCATCAAGGATCCCCTGCCATACTTACAGCAATGACCCAAAAGTCACATGTACCCTGAACAAAAGTGTTGAGTTATAGCACCTAAGACCGTCACTTCATATCCCAAGGTTTCACATCCTCTGATTCAACCAACCACAGATCTGGAATATTTGGAAAGAAATGTTTGTGCAGATTTTTTTCTTAGGATTCCCTAACAATATGGTATAATTATTTATATAGTGCTCATATTTTATGAGGCATTGTAAGTAATGGAGAGATGGCTTAAAGCATATAGGAGGGAGTGTTTGAGTTCCATACAAACATTATTCTTATTTATATGAAGTTCCCAAGCATCTGTGGACTTTGGTATCTGTGAGCAGTCCCAGAGCCAGTCCTCCACTGGTACAGAGAGACCATGGTACCTGTGCCTGCCTATACTTCTGGATAGTCAGTTTTATCTTTCGACTGCTGCTTAGTCCTAAAGTAGTTCCTTCCTTTTCTCTGGATTAAATCTTTCAGGATTGTGTAGATTTCCCTTTGGAGATAGTAGCTATATATTTGTGCATGTGAAAAGGCAAAAAAAAAAAAAAAAACCACAAAACCCTCCACCATATCAGAAACTGCATGCTCCCCAAGTTCTGTGACTAGGGGTGATGCAGGGTTGTGTTATGCATCACCAGAATCCCATCTGGCAGCACCCCATCACAAGCAACTGTACAGCAGCAGGCGCCGAGGTGCCTCCCCATCCTCTCACCCTGCGTGGACTCTTCCTATTTTACAAGCGAGGGTACCAAAGCACAGAGAATGTATTTTCCTCTTTAAATTCAGACAGCTAGAGTATACTCTGGCCAATGTATTAAAACGCCACCTTGCCTACCTTCCCCCATCCATGATCAGTCTTGGGAGGAGATAGAGTGAGCATACATTGCTGGGTTTGGGGAAATCTTATCTGCACCTTTGTGTTAATTATTCTTGTTCTTCAGGGTTGCTAATTAAATGATTTCAGTGTTACAGATTTTTGTCTGCTTTTCCAAGAGCCAACATTAGACATTTCTGGACTCTGTCATGGTTAAAATCTTTCTAGTCCTAGAGTGCAACTGTAAAAACTAGGCAGTTAAACTGGGCATGATAGCACATGCCTTTAATCCCAGCACTAGGGAGGCAGAGGCAGGCGGATCTCTATGAGTTCAAGGCCAGCCTGGTCTACCTCATGAGTTCCAGGCCAGCTCGGGCTACAGGGAGACCCTGTCTCAAATAGACCAAAACAAAAACAAAGATAATAAAAAACAAGGTAGTTAAAATGGAGTGCACAACTTTTAGACCAAGGGGCTGCCTAAGGTTCTCAGCTTTCCCTTTTCTAATTGATGTTTTTGTTTCTTTATTCCTTCTAAAGGTACTGTCTCCTAAAATTAAACAACTAAAAGAGTATTGGCCTAGGGAATGGAAGGTTTTAACCCTAGCTCTGCCACTAACTAGCTAATTGCTTTAGGCAAATAATGTATCCTGGTTGGATCTCACTTGGGGACTCTGGAAGTACCTGCCTGCACTCTTCACATGGTTACAAGGATGGATGTCCCAGGATTTCCCAGTTGTCTGTTTACTGACTGGAAGCCCTCCAAGGGCTTATGTAGATACAGGTTTTGCAACTATGGGAAAATGACTTAGTATGTCTGAGTCTTGGTTTCCATATCTATAAATTATATAGACATTGTCTACCATGCTGTGTTGGAAAGCTTATAATGGGATAATATATGTAGTTCTTGGTGCAGCACCAGGTGTATAAGTGGGCATCAATAAATGTCTATGTGCTTGAAGGAACATGGCATGACTCATGACTCTAATGCTTTTGTCAAGCAGAACCTTAACTCCAGATCACCTCTTCTCTCCCGGCTCTTCCTCAGCTTTGGGGGCTCTTCTTCAAGGCAAGGCAATTGTGTGGGGGGGGGGTATGCATGTACATGTTGTTGCTAATACAGAGTTTGTGGTGGGTCTCTTCCTCCCCACCCCCTGCATGGCTTCTCTAGAGGTTTCTAATGATTAGGTTATGTGGCTGTTGTCAGGAAGTGTGAGAGTTGGTGCTGCAGAGAGGAATTCAGCATCTCCTACCTGGATCTCATGACCCAAAGGTGCAGTGTGTCCATTGTTGGTAACTTATCCTCTTTGTACTTTCCTTTCCTGTGCCAGAATAACTATGAACCTTTAATACATCCCACTCACCCCTTGCAGTAGAGGTCAGGATTAGGATGCAGCAAATGTGAGGGACCAATCTACTTTGAGATAGGTTGGGTAAAGGGTTGGGAGCCCTGAGAATTGGAAGTCAGGGAAATAAAGGTTAGACAAAGAAAAAAGGGAGACTGAATAAGAAAAACAGTTTTACTCATTTCACAATTTTCCAGAAGGGTCTTCCTAACCATCCCTAGCTGTTGGATGGTTCTTCCTGCGGTTTGAGTATCCAAGTATCCAATGGGTAATCCATCCAGGAAGCTAGACTTGCTGTGTCTGCAAATGAAGTATGATATAAAGTCAGAACAGGGCTCCTACCTCAAATCTGGGGGGAGGGAGTTAAGAGGCATGCCAACATTCCCAGGAATCCCAAAATAGTGGTTTTCTGTCCAGATAACAGGCTACAAAGACAAACAAAAGGGGAAACAGCCCCTTGGGTTTGGAGTCTCAGCAGACAGTGAGCCTGCCTGGAGTTAGGTGGATTGAGGCCTCAAGAGCCACAAATCACATTGGACATTTTCTTAAAAAAAAATGAAAAAAAAATCTTTATTAAACTAGTAATATAACTTATTTATAGAAACATAACAAAACATAGTTAATCACTGAGGGGTGGGGGATGTTCCTCCCTAACCCCATTAACCTGCAGCTGTTAATAGTCTCTGATGGCTAAGTGCTGGATTCTGGGGTCTCTCTGCCCAGGGCAAAGCTTTACTTCTCTGTTTATCAGCTATCAGTCACAGGTGAATTACTTAGTCCCTATGGACCTGTTTCTTCATCCATAAATTAGGGATAATAATCTACTAAGGGAAGTTGTGAAATTTAAAGATGCTAATATAGTACTGCTTAAAATAGTACCTGGACTATATTAAAACACTGTGATCACTCTAAGAATTTTTATTATTATAGCTGTTTTCCTATATAATGTATAGGAAGTATTACGCATAATATTTAATACATACTGTTTATAGATCATCTTTTCATGGATAGGTTTTCTTTTATTAGCTAATATTGATTGCTTCTAGTTGGAATAGGCCTAGTGCTAAAGGTTTTTACATAAATGATCATATTAGTCCTCATAAGGTTGGGTACTCATGAGGAAAGAGACTAAGCCAAGCAGTAATTGAAGTTTATAGAATTAGCAAGTAGAAAACCTAGAATTCAGACACAGACATTCTAGCTTTGAAAGTTGCTCATGTTAGTACCAGACATAGACTTTTCAAAAAGACTCAGGATTTCTCTTAATTTTTATTTATTGCATGTGTATGAGTGCCCAACTTGCATGCAATGCCTATGGAGGTCAGAAGACAGCATAGGATCCCTTGGGACTAGTGTTACTGATGGTAGTAGCCACCAAGTAGGTTCTGGGAAGTGAACTTGGGTGCTCTTAATCACTGTCTCCAGTCCTATAGACCGAGGACCTCCCGAAAGAGGCAGGTTTGGGTGTATGTCATTGTTGGATGCACTTTGGGACTGCTAACTGAGGTGTGTCTGACTCATGTTCTCCTTGGACTATACTGGTATTTTCAACCTCTGCTGTGGACATCCCTCTTAGATATGAAATGGGATCTAAGGTCCCATTTTTATAGGGTTTCATATTTACTCAGTGCATTTTACCTGGAAAAAGAGAAAGTTATCCTCCAGAGCTTTTGACAGCATCATTTGGGTCACTGACCATAGGTTCTTTATTCTTCTCTTTCCAACCTTGGACTTTGGCCCCTTGTCTCCAGATAACTTAGGGCCCCACTGTCTGCTCACTAATTTAATCAGCAAGTCATTACTGAAACTCTACCCTTGCGAAGCCCTGTTCAGAGTTCCATGGGAATGCAGAAGGAGGAAGCCATTTGTTTTTGGTTTTTTAATATTTTATGTGTATGAGTGTATTGCCTACATGTATGTAAGCGCACCCATGTCATGCAGTGCCTGCAAGTGTCAGAAGAGGGCATCGGATCCTCTGGAACTAGAGTTACAAACAGTTATTAGCCTCCATATGGGTGCTGGGAAGTGAACCTAGGTCCTCTGCAAGAACAGCCAGTGCTTTAACCACTGAGCCAGCTTTCCAGTCCCAGAGGAAACCATTTGAAAAGACACCAACACACACAAAAGCAGAGCCAACAACATAAAGCAGGTTTCACTTGGCTCCAGTGACTGGAGTGAGCCCAGATCATTCAGTGGGAGAGTTGGCTTCACTGAGGGAAGGGGGAAGACTCAATTGGGAGTGTGACAGGATGACAGTGATATTTTGGGAACTAATCTTTTGTCTCTGAATTTAGGAGCAGCTCAGAGCGGAGGAAGGAGAAATCCCGAGATGCTGCAAGGTGCCGACGCAGTAAGGAGACGGAGGTCTTCTATGAGCTGGCTCATGAGCTGCCCCTGCCCCACAGTGTGAGCTCCCACCTGGACAAGGCCTCCATCATGAGACTGGCTATCAGCTTCCTGCGTACACACAAGCTCTTGTCCTCAGGTAGGGCCCTACACACAGGGGTCCCTTATGGTGCCAGAGATTTGAGGCCTTTCTCCTAGACACATTCCTCTACAAACATTCTCCCACTGAAAGGCCATCACTGGACTTTATTCTTTCATTTTGTGTGTGTCTGTCTGTCTGTGTGTAATCCTATGTATGTGGACACATGTGCCATGGTGCACAGCCTGGGATAGTTTCTCTTGTTCCATCACGTACATTCTGGAGATTGAACTCAGATGGTTAGGCTTGGCAGCAAGCGCCTCTACCATCCCACTGGCCCTGTTCCTTCATTTTAGCCATCCCTCTCTGGCAGTGGTCTTTTTCATGAGTATAGACGGGATGAGGGCAAGGACAGGACCAAGTAAGACTATAAGCATCCAGAAGCAAGGAAGAGAGGAGCCTGGGACAGCCAAGAGCAGCTTCTGCTGGAGTGCCCAGCTCTGCAGCATCTAAACTCCCCCATACTACACTGAGTCATTTCAACCTAGTCTTCCAGCCAGTTCTCTAGGACATCAGAGGTGGTGTGCATAGCCAGTTAGGCAGTGATCTCTCCAAACCTGTTTCCTTGCCTATCAACTGGGATTATCCATGCTTACTACGCAGAGTGGCCATAAGAATTGACTGAGACAGTGGCCTAGTTGCACTGATTCCTACTGGGGAGCCTTTGAGAGATGACAGCCTCAAACACTAGCCCTTCTCAGCCAACCAATGCCTTTTCTCCCCAGTATCTCTGCAACTGTAGTCCATAAAAATGCTCTCCCCCTGCCCCCAGAGTTAGTCTTCAAAAACCATTTCCTGTTAAGTCTTACCAGGAAGAGGTGGCATGAGTTTTTCAGTTACAGATCCTATGTGCAGTCTTGTCTAATTTGTCTGTTTTGGAAGGAAACTGAGCAGCATGTAGCAGCTGGCCTGGCACTATGGTTGGGAATTGTCTGAGGGGATAGATGAGGGAAGCAGTCAGGAACGGTCGTGTTCAGTTTTCCTAAGTGATTGTGGTATGTCAGAGAGGGGGTCGTTCAGCTGTCCTGTTACAAAGTGGCTATTCTGGGAAAGAAACCCTGTACAGAGGGAATCCAGTATGGGGCAGGGAGGCCAGACTGGCCTGTGCTATTCTGGGCCTTGTGCACAGGAAGGATATGGGGGAAAGACCTTAGAGGAGAGGATGACTGCTCAGGGGGCCCGAGGGCTAGAGACTAAGACCATGTTGCAAGGCTGGAATGAGTGTGCTATCACAGAAAAGTCAAGATAGTTGAGGAGAAACAAGGGTAAAAATGTTCTGCAAACAGAGCCTGGCAATGGTAGGCACCCGGTTGCAGATGAAACTGACAGACTGAAGCCCTTCAAAGCTGGGATTGTCAGATGAAAGACAGGCTCTTGGAGACTCCATCCCAGGCACGTCCATGCCTTGTTCTTTAAAAAGAAGTCTGTCCTCTTGGAAAACGGAGCAAGACAGAGATTTTCAGGATTCTGCAAGCCTGGCCAGGCAAAGATATGAATAAGGGTCAGGGAACTAAAAACCAAATGAGGCACCTCTTGTCACTGCTCACCCACACGGAAGCCTGGCTGTCTTCCTCAATGGATCTGAGGTTAGTTTGGAAAGGGCTCAAGTAGAAGGTTGGGTCTTATGAGCACATCTGCCTTCATGTGTCCCGGTATGAACCCCTTGCATGCTATATGAACCCACAGATACAGGACCAGACATCACACAGTCCAGCTCAGGAGCTCTGAGTGTTAGGAACAAGAACAGCCTGCCTTCTGCACAGCCCAGGCACAGACAGACCAGAGCCCTCAGCTTGTCAGCACTGGGCCTCTCTGTCCCAAAGAAAGAAATAACAGAAAAGGATAATAAGTTTCTACTTTTGGTCATCTGGCCCTGGTGTCCTTGAAGGAGAAATTCTCATAAAATGAGCATAGTCAGAGGAGGAGATGGCTTAGCTCTCCTCTTTCTCTGCCTTTTCTCCCAGGCTCCTACAAGGCAGTCTCTGGACCAGTTGTAGAGACTGTTTTCAGAATGTAGAACAGCCTTTTTTTTCCTTTCCTTCTCTTTCTCCCCTCTGTCTCTGTCTCTCTCTCTCGTGTATGCGTGTGTGTGTGTGTGTTCAGGTGCGAAGGTGTGCACACCCATGCAGAGGTCAGAGGAGGACATCAGGTATTCAACCCCTAAAACTTCCTGCTTTATTTTCTGGAGAACGGGGGGCCTTGTACTAAACCTGAAGCTCACCATTTTGGCTAGGCCAGGTGGCCAGTGAGTTCCTCTCCAGCCTACTTTTTCTTTTTATATCATTGATCATTGTCTGTCTTTAAACTTTATTTAACGTTTTTGTTGTTGTTGTGTTTGTTTTTGGTTTTGGTGGGTGTATAGGTCATAGGACAACTTTCAAGAGTTGATTCTCTCCTTCCACCATGACCAAATGTAGGTTGCCAGTCTGTGCAGCAAGTACTTTTATCCATGGAGCCACCTTTCTAGCCCTAAATAATGGATTAAAGAAAATACATGAAACATGACAAAAAGAGTACAGGCTCTGTGAGCAGATATCCCCACAAGGGCAAAGCGGTACAACTGTCTTCTTTCTCTGCAACTTTGTAAAGTTGTCTTTTTCTCTTTGAGCCTTGGGTATAGAGTACTTGCTGTAAAACATGAGAAGCATCAGTATGATATGAAAGGCCTTAGTCTCCAGCCTGCTTAGAAATAATAATTCTTATAAAAAGAAATGCCAAGCGTGGTGGCACACGCCTTTAATCCCAGCACTCTGGAGGCAGAAGCAGGTGGATCTCTGTGAGTTCAAGGCCAGCCTGGTCCACATAGTGAGTTCCAGGACAGCTAGGGCTATAGGGAGACCCTGTCTCAAAAAGACGAAAAAAAAAAAAAAAAAGAAATGACTTCTAGAGAAATGATGTAAAAGAAAACCCAGGATAAATCGTAATGTCTTTGTACCCACCTTTCAGCAGTTTTCATCAAAATGCAAAATTATGACATACACTTTTCCAAGTCAAAATAAACTATAAATTCATTATTTAAACAATTTTGACAGAGGTGAACAAGTACCAACTTTGGCTCACTTTATAATAGGAAATAGCTGGTTGCGTACCTCAGAGTTCAAAAGGCTAAAAAATACCAGGTTTGACCTTAGGAAGGTTTCTTCTTTACTTAGTAACACACTTCCCTTTGATTTTCACAGTAGGCTGTTGTGTGTGGGAATGTTGGAGAGGAAGCCTCAACACTGAGAAACTCAGGCTGTGAGTCGGGGCCACGACTGAGATTCGTATCACAGGAAGCAAACTCAAACAATAGCTTTATGATACGCGCTTCCACACTGGGCAAGGACAGAATGCGCTCTGATGGGAACATCAGTGGAAATACCATTTGATTGTCTTAAATCCTCTTTCAAGATGAGTCCTGTAAGCTGCGGCTGCAGGAGGATTGCTTCTGTGATCCAAGGGCCTTGGGCAGCAGCAAATATGCAAAGTAGGCTTCTCACTCTAAAATTGATTTGAGGCTTCTCCAAATTCATACCTGGTAAAAATTGAATTCTCTTTATTGTAGAATTGGAGATCAACATGAAACCAGGTTTCTAGAGAGAAATGTCAGGTTTATTTTTGATTCATGGCATTTACTTAGTGATGACATAGTCTTCACAGGAGATTATGATTTCCTGATCTCCGGGCTACTAAGGGAAAGACATTAAAATGCGGGACTTGTGCTTATAAAGTTTGCACCATAACCTTTCCATGCAGAAAAAGTGGGGCAAGGGGGAACAAAACTGTGGCAATAGATGAGGTTTCTGGTGCCCTCCTATGCCCCTCAGTCATATTTTCTCTGGCTTTCACCCCAATTGTGTTACTGTCCCACCCCTTTGCCCCACCCATACTCCAAATCAAAGTCTGTGTCTGTCCATTTTGGAAGGAAGGCTGTGAGATGTTATGAGACTGTTAAGGGCTGGGAATAGCTAGCAATCTCTTCTAGCTTGTTCACAGCATTCCCTCCAGCCAAAAAAATCCTGGTCAGTCAATACATACTTGCCGAATGCAGCTGTGTGCTGCATCGTATGAAGGCTAACCCAGAGAGGGGAGGTGAAAAAGCAGATAGGGACAGAACAAAGCACCAGTCTCCAGTCGTGGACGTTGACTGCTCACCGCGAGTCCAGCAAGATAGGGCATGTCCTGTGGCAAAAATTGTAAGATAGCCCAAGCCTGCCTGTGGTGGGGTATGAGGTACAGCTAATGATCAGTAGGTGACCCATACTCATTTCCTCCAGGCTTGACTGGCAGTGGGTACCTGGAGGGCTTGAGCACCATGGCAGTGCTGGCAGGGGTGGAACGGCTGCAGGCAAAGCCCTTGAAAGCAAAGACCCTGCAACGATAACTAAATATCAAGTGCATCTGAAACAGGAGCTGGTGAAGAAGAGTCAAAGCAGTCCTGGAATTTATTAGAGAAGGAACACCCCCCGCCCCCAGAATGACCTTGGAGGAGTAAGACTGTCATCAGCCTCCTCGCCAGTAGCACTACTGGGACGGCCTGGCCTCAGAGACCCAGTCAGGAGCTGCTGCTCTTCTGCTCTGCCACCTGCCAGCTTACCCCAAATGCCCAGCTCCTGCTGTTCATGGTGTGCTGCCCCACATGGGTGGTGCTGCCTGAAGGAAATGAGCGATGCTCCGGAAAAAGTGCTCCAAAACCTCAGCCACACATATCCTGGCTGTGGGGAGTCATCAAAGCCTGTTTACTGTAGCTATTTTTAGCATTAAAGAATCTTGTACTCCCCAACCAAGCCTGCTCCCTCTTAGTGGAGGCCTCTGCTATATACCAGAGTCCCTCTTCTTTGGGGTTGACCCCTGACAGGTCTTAGGAAGCAAGTGATTGAGGCATAGAACCCAAGATACTTAAACCCAGCTCCTTGTTGAGCACCTACTTCATTCTGCACCAAGGGTTTACTCTCCATTGTTGTCAACAGCCCCAGGAAGGCGGTATGACTTTTCTTAGTAGTCTGTCTTCCCTGGCGGTCTGTTGATTCCTCAAGGGCTAAGATTGTGCTCACCCTTTCAGTATCCCCAGTTCCCTCTAGGACAGGACTGAGGATATAATCAGTGGCACTGATGGACAGATTACTTTTTTCCAACCCAGGGCTGACACAAAGTAAAATCTGTAACTGTGCAGTGAGCCAATGCATCTTTCCCCACACCCAATAAGTACTTGGCTATTCATACCTCAGAGAAGGCCTGGTGTGCACAAGGGTAAGGCAGAGATGTGACATGAGGCTCATGGCCCTTGAGGGAGGGTCTGTCTCCCTGCTCCAGGCTGGGAGTGACCTAGCCAAGTTCCTTCAGAAGTTCTCAGGAGGATAAGCAGGTGCTGCAAGAGCAAATAGTTCCACCAGAGGAAGAGGCCACGCCCGAGCCCTGCTGCTCCAGGGTCTTGTGGGGGGGGGTGGCCTGCTGGCTTCCTGGCCCTCTAGCCATTGTGACTTCAGTTCTAAGACGTTGTTTCCCTTCATGGCCTCAGAGCACCCCTCTCTCCTTCCCTCCAAAGGCCAGTCAACCTGCCACTGTGGCCAATTTCGCCACCTCCTGGAAGTAAGTGTGCCAGACACTATGGAAACCCATTTTGGCTGTACAGGACCTGCTAAAAACAGGAAACTTTAAGCAGAACTATTTCCTCTGGGCCTAGTTAACCCAAATGGTTGTCTTGGGATTACTCCAAATTTTGAAGTCAGTGTTACCACTGAGATCAAAGAAGCTGAAGAGAAAATATCTTCTCAGTAGGCCTGAGGCCTGGCCTTTGCTTGTCTGGAGAAAGTGGCCACCTAGCTGGTGTCACTTAAATGCAGCCGAAAACCTCTTGCCTTTTTCCCAGATCAGGTACCTCTGCCAGATGGGCTGGTTTTCCCTACATGGGGGTACTAGAAGAACCTAGAGTTGAGGTGATAATCTTCAGTGTGCGGTCCCTGGAGCAACAGCTTTGCCATCTTCTGAGAATTTTGTAGGAAAGCATGTTCCCAACCCAGCCTGAGAGTCCTGAATTAGGAAGCCTTGGGATAGAACTCTTCAGCACCAGCCTGAGTAGGGCATAGCTTCCACACTCTTACAAGGGTCTTAGAATTGGCTTAATTTTTCAGCAAGAGGTCCCACATTTTTACTTTGTGTAAGACCCCATAAATCACATAGCAGAACTAGGACCAGAAGTCTTCACTTTGGTATCTCCTAATTGGTGTCTGTTCTTCTGATGCTTACATTTAAGGGTTCATAGAAAATGAGGAGAATTAGATAAACCCGGTGGCCTTGCTTCTCAAGGGCTTTGATTCCCCACTCTTCAGCAATGCTGTATCACTTGCTAAGTGGCCCATACATCTAATTGCACTTTAGACTCCCTGGAAGAGTCTATTTGAAAGACTCTTTTTAGACCAGTAAATATGAACTATCATAAGTAGCAACCTACTCTATAAGTCTCTTGTTCTGCAAATCAAGTAAGGCATACTTGGATTGATGTTCATGCTGGATGAATACAGATTTTTTTTTAAAGCACATGTACATTTGGAGTTAAGTAATGAAGAGGATTCAGTCTGTGAACTGAGGATAATTAAGGGCTGGGGCTTTAGAGTTCTTTTTGTCTGGACAAGAGCTGAGCCTATATTTTGCAGCTAGCAGAGGAATACTTGATAGGCAGGTCTACAGAGTAGACGGTTGGGGTGGATCTTTTCCCTTGTTGCTCCTAGCACCTACCTCTAGTCTGACATTAATATAGTTGCTATCTCACTCTTTTGTGCCTCTTAAGTTTCACTCTCCTCAAACTGTTCTGCATGCTATTGACAAAGTAATGTCCTCAAAGTAATGCTTTTAGATGCCACATCCCTGCTACTTTGGCTGAAAGAAGCATCCCTTCAAGACACTGGGCCTTACCTCCCTTGTCCAGTCTCAGACATGGATCCTCTGCAGCCGGGTGGGCTCTGCTCCATCCTGGAAGGAAGCCTGCTCCGTGTGTTTTCCAGGAGGCTACCTAGCCTCTTCCAGCCTAACAAGCCTTCTCTTTCCATCCTAGTGTGAGCCGTCTTTCATGAGTCTGCTCAAACCTCTTTCTTTGGAAGATTTGTTTCTGATCACTCAAGCTAACTCCTCCTCTTCTGACCCCTGAAGCACTTATTCTCTGCACCCTTCCATTGGTGACCCGCTGTGATGTCCTTCAGTGCTCATTTAGCTTTGTGATGCTGTGTTGGCTTTCAGCAATTTGAGGGTAGTGACAGTGCCTTACAGGGAACAGGTGAGGAAAGAATTCACAATTGTTGATACCATTTAAGCTGTTTACATACTTAATCTTTACAATTTAAGGAGATGGAAATTACTATCCTTGTTTTGCTGATGAGAAAACCGATGTTTAAAGAGTTGTTACTTACGCAAGGTTATAGACTAATAGGAACCAGCTCTAGGAATAGATACTATGTTGGACCCCAAAACCTTTATATAAATGGTTGAATATGGCCTCTGCTTTCAGTTTCTGGGGCTTGCTAGCTTTCTAGACTTCATAACCTTGGGCAAATGGCTTAACCCTTATAACCTTTGTCTGTAAGAGGAGACTAGGAATAATAACATACCTCATGGGTCATTGTAAAGAATATACAAAATACTTACTTCAGTACCTGGTGTGTAGTAATTGTTCAATATACATTAGCTAAAATTTCTGTTCCTGCTTCTGTGATGACCACTGCTATGGATGCTTCCACCGCCATTACTACACATACTCCAGGTACTGTTGTCACAATAACCACACTGTCCCCAAGCCCTTGTCAGGGTGTCCTGGGTAGTTTCATGCAGTGCCCACTGACTAGGCATATGGCAGACAACTAGATAGTTGGAAGTATGCATTCCCCCATAAAGTCTATCTGCTTTGTGCCCCGGAGCCAACCTTGGCAGACACCTAACCCAGTCATGTCTGGGTTTTTTTATTTGAGGGATGGGCAGGTTGTTTGTTTTGAGACAGGGTTTCCCTGTAGCCCCTGCTGGCCTGAAACTCACTGCAGATCAAGCTGGCTTTGAGCTCACCAAAATCCATCTGCCACTGCCTCCCAAGTGCTAGGATTAAAGGCGTGTGCTACCGTGCATGCCCAGCTCCTGTTTTAACACCACATTCATGCAAACCACCCATCCTCTTCTCTTTCCAGTCTGCTCTGAAAATGAGTCTGAAGTTGAGGCTGACCAGCAGATGGATAACTTGTACCTAAAAGCCTTGGAGGGTTTCATTGCTGTGGTGACCCAAGATGGCGATATGATCTTCCTGTCAGAAAACATCAGCAAGTTCATGGGACTCACCCAGGTGACACCATTTTCTAGCTCTTTCAAAAAGGAAAAATATCTTTGGGAACAGAAACTAATGGAAGGTATTGGTCACAGTCTCTCTTCACTTCTTCCTGCACATGCCTACTCCGACACTCATAATCCTCAGGTCTCAATCCTCAGGAACATGCTCCCACTGGCTCTAGGCTTGACATTGATGATGACCATCCTGATGGTTAGATCTCTTCTAGCTAGATTACCATGATATCCCTCATGAATCAAGTATCCGTCATCATCAACAGTGCTCTGTCACATGTGTAAGTCTGTGGACCTAACATTGACTAGAGACTGAATGATGACCCTATACAATCTCCTCCCTGTCTTCAAAGCTTGTAGGCAGCCCCGTTCTCCTTTGGAGTCTTTGACTTCAATATTGGAGTAATGAAGTCTAACTTGCTTTTGAAACAGGTAGAGCTAACAGGACACAGTATCTTTGACTTCACTCATCCTTGTGACCATGAGGAGATCCGTGAGAACCTGACTCTAAAAAATGGTAAAGTATTCTTCTGTGTTTCTGTCCTTCTTGTGCCCTTCTCACTCAGGGAGGGGATCTGCCTTCCATTTAACTATAAGTACAGGGCAGGTGGATCATGGTCATGATGCTGGGAAAAACTGTCATCCATAGAAAACTCTAGTTGGGCTCGCCTGTTGTATAGGCATGCAACCTCTGAGATGAGATCATGAGCCCTAGATGTACTCAGTACTCAGAATAGTTCCTGATGGCCTACCTGATGCTTGATGCCATACTACCAGGGCACTCCTTCTGGTCAGGGTGCCATCTCTAGGAGGTTCTGTCATCTGAGATCAAGATCTCTGCCAAGCGATAACACCCAAACTAATAACCTCATCTGCACCAGTGCTCATGGGAGCTGCTGCACAGCCTATTGCTGTGTAACAAACCATCAAAAACTTAGGCTTAAGCAATCTTCTAGGTTTCTGTGGGTTCTGTGGGCAGGACTCTTGCACTGTGTGACATCAGATGGATTGCAGTCATCAAGGGCTGGAGTAGGTTGGGGTGATCAAAATGGCTCACCTGTGGCTGGTGTCTGGGAAGCAGGGTGACCACACCTGTCACTCCATGGGGCCTCAGAGTAGCCTTTTTCATATGGAGTTTGCCATCTTACATGGCAGCTCAGGAACCCCTGCCCTGTTACTCCCTCCCCTTCCAAAGTGAAATGATAGAAGCTGAAAGACCTTCCCAGGAGTGAGTCCTGAAATTGAAACAGCATCACTTCTGCCTCATTTTCCTGGTTAGTACAAGGTCCAGGCTGCTCTGGTTGGGTGTGCACCAGGAGGCATAGCTCCTTAAGACCACTTATGAACTAGCTACCACAGGAGCCACGGAGTGAATGAGGCCTCTGATGAGAAAGGGAAATTTTGATGGGCAAGATTTTAAAAGATCGTTACACTAAACTCTGTTAATGTAAGGATCTGCATAGGCAGAAGGCAATTTGCATAGATGGCATTCAAGAAAAGGCATGAAAACAGTCAAAAGAACTGAAGCTTTGGGGCTGGAGAGATGGTTCAGTGGTTAAGAGTACCTGCTGTTCTTTCAGAGGATCCAAGTTTGGTTCCCAGCACCCATGTCTGGAGGCTCACAACTGCCTGTAACTCCAGCTTCAGGGGCTCCAATACCCTCTTGCCTTCGGGTACTTGCACGAATGTGCACACAAACACATAAATAAAAATAAATATTTAAAAGCAAAACAAAAAGAACTGGAGCTTTAGGCAGCAGTGGAGCTCAATGACTGTCAAAATAGTTTCTGAATTAAGAACCTATCACTGGTCTGGGCATCAAGACATCTTCTTGAACATCTCTGACTTACCACTGCCCCTGGGGCTTGTGCTCATCCAACCTGAATAACAAAGGAAGGCAGTAGTTCCAAGCCTGCAAGGTTTCTCATTACCATACTCACTGCAAAAGCAGACACTTCATTGGCTTACCTCTGCCATTGGGATGGAGTACTGCAAACCTCATTTGGGCCTGTCCTACAAAGCTTTGCAGAATTACACCTACCTCCCTTTCAACACTGCCCCTGACCTCTCATCTGGCCTCTCTGCTCTCTACCCAAAGGCCCTGGCCACCTGACTCCCAGAGTGCCTAGGCTGGAGACCATCTTGAGTCTATTTAATATCTTGCCTGTGCTGCTGAGAAAATCTAAGCTGTACAGAATGAAAGGTTCAATGGAAGAGGGGCCACCCCATCAGAAATTTTCTTTTCGGTTTTGGTTTTTTGAGATCATGTCTTGTTATGTAGCCTAGGTTGGCCTCAAACTTGTAACCCTCTTTCTCAGGTCCTGGGATTACACACATCTACCACCATGTCTGGTTTTCAGAAGCACTTTCTAAACCAGGTGGCTCTTACTGCTTCTTTTCTCCAGAAACCCACTGGCCCTTGGGTTCTTGATCTCAGTCCAACCAAGTCTCAGTTTGATTCTGTGAGCCAAATTAAGTATCTTATGCCTATGTTGCTCAGAGTCTTTTCAAATTGATAGACTAGGCAATAAACTAGGCAAAGTCTCAGATCTTCCAGCTTTCAAGTGCCATGACTCAGCCAAGTGCCCTCTGCTTATCTGAACAAAACTTTTCATTCTTTGATTCATTGTGTGGGACTTGAAATCAGTTAAACTCAATGAGTCAGCAAGTCTTTGCTGAAGGGTGCCAGCCTGCTGGTGAACTCATGATCTAAAAGCAAAGGGTCAATGTGGATTCCTAGAGGAAGTAAAGGTCGGGACAGAGATTGCTTTGCTGGCCGGGTGGAGGGCCTCAAATTTTATTCTGCAGACAGCAGGGAGCTACTAAAGCTTTTTAAGCAGGGGTGATGCTATCAAATGTCAGCATGGGGAGAATCCAGAGGTTAGTAAGTTAGGAGCCCACTGTAACCCAACAGGTAGTCACAAATGAATTTCAAACCCCCTCATTCATAACTCCTGGTGGCCCCCAAGATGCAAGTATAATTCATTATATGAAGCCCTACCTATGAAAATTAAAATTATAAGCAGCAAAAATATGGGAGAGACAGCCTATCTGAACTACGAAGATTCGCCATTCAATATGTCACTTAGTGGGCTCCCCGAAGGGTATTTAAGTTCAGCTCAAAGGTGCCAATTCCTTTGACACACAGTTCTTCTGTACTATGTCAGCTGCATAAACCAAGGTTTAGGTGAAGAAGTTGACAGCTTCTCTTGGAGAGCAGTGTGACCATTAGAAGCAAGGCTGTAGATTGCTCTGTGACACTAGGCCTTTGAAAGGCCAGAATGGGGATGGTGGTAGAGAGAAAATTTAGATCCAGGTAACCTTGTATTTCTTACTCTATATAACAAAAAGTAGAAATGGCAGGATATTTAGAGATTTGTAATGAATTTTAAAATGCTATATTGTTGGCCTTGGCGATTTATTCTGGCTGAAAGAGGATCTGATTGTCTTTAAAATAAACTTACCCCTAGTCCCAGGACTTAAATCAAGTCGTGCCCCCCCCCACACATATGTCACCTTAGAGAGAAAGGTAATGTTGCATTGTCTAGAACATAGCCACTGCAGGTCACAAATAGGGTGCAGAGAGTTTAACTTCCTGAGAGACAGGTTAGAAAGAGCAGACAGGAGTATTGGAGGAGAACTCTAACTAGAAAGACTTATGTCCTTGGAGTAACTCACTCAGATTGAACCTCAGGCTTCCTACGAGAGGACCCAAGCCTGCCTTGAGAACTGCTGAGACTATGGTCATAGTCACCCCTTGCTTTACTCAGGTGCTAAGTATACCACATGATAGGGCAGGTGTTCATGCTCCAAGGGATACACTAAGACAGGAGCTTCTGCCCAGCCTCCCTTAGGCCTAGCACCTTCTCTCCCAGCTGGACATCAGGAGGATCTGGTTTCTGCAGGGGAGCAGCTCTGCTTTCTACATGAACCTGGTATTAGTTGGTGGCCCCTGCTTGGAATTGGCCATCGCTATGGCCCCATTTCAGAAGTTTTGTAAAAGCATCCTTGACATATTTCTGTCCCCTAGCTCTGACTACAATAGAGCCAAGACACAAAAGGCACTGCAGCTGAGGAATCATTTGTCCTTGTACCATGTGGGAGCTCTGTGTTCATGGAAGGTAGCAAGTGCTAAAGCACAAATCACCAGGAAACATAAGCATAAGATGCCCAGCAATGTTGCACCTGAGCCTCTCTTCTGAGTAAAGATTTAAATTAGTTCAACTGGTATCCACACCTTTCTCCACCCAGGCTCTGGTTTGGGGAAGAAAAGCAAAGATATGTCTACAGAACGGGACTTCTTCATGAGGATGAAGTGCACAGTTACCAACAGAGGCCGAACTGTCAACCTCAAGTCAGCCACCTGGAAGGTAGGACATCAGTCCTGGGTTGGTGTCCCAAGTGCATATGGGGGCAGTGCCTAAAGTCCTGCCCCTGTTCTCAGGCTCTTTGCCTCATCCGACTTCTGTGTTGCTTCCTAGGTCTTGCACTGCACTGGCCAGGTGAAAGTCTACAACAACTGCCCCCCTCACAGTAGCCTCTGTGGCTATAAGGAGCCCCTCCTGTCCTGCCTCATCATCATGTGTGAGCCAATCCAGCATCCATCCCACATGGACATCCCCTTGGACAGCAAGACCTTCCTGAGCCGCCACAGCATGGACATGAAGTTCACCTACTGTGACGATAGGTAGCGCTCTGAGGATGTGCACTATATGCTAACACAGAGTGAATCTTACCTGCTAGTGTGTGATTGTACCTGTGATAAAGGGATGAGACTGGGCCATAAGTGCTGTGCTGCTGGGTGCAAGCTTGTAGACTTAAGTTGTGTGTAATTTCGCCAGCACTCCTGGCATCTAGTTGGTAGTCTCCCATTGATACAGCCTCAAGGTCTGTCTACAGAACTGTTCTGGTATGTAACTGTTACCATCACTGTGGTGTGTGTATATTTATCCACATATGAATCTGGCTCCTGAGGAGATTTCCAAGGACAGTCTCCTGTCCCACATGACAAAAGTCTAGAGATTCTATAAGTATTCTCAATTTGGAGGCCAGCCAGGAGCATGGGGTTCTGGCCTGGATACTGACCCACACTGGTTGGCTTTCTCTGGTTCTTTTATAGTTCTCTCAGTCTTTGCCCCTGATGTGTACAGCTGCATTCTAGCTACCAGCTAGCCTCCTTGTGAAGACTTTAAAATGAAGGGAGCTAAGCTGGATCTAACCCCCATTTCTGAGCCCATTGGCCAGTCTCTTTGGGGACACAATAGTGACAAAGAGCATGGCCAAGGTTCCGATCCAGTAGTGTATGTTCAGTGTTAGCTTTTGTTCTCACCTTTATTAAAGCTGAGAGTACACCCTGGCTGAACAAGGAAGGTATGTCATCTTTAGTTGCCAGCTAAATTTGAAGGCTGACACAGTGAAGAGGCAAGCCATGGTTGTTGTTGGGCCCATGGTATGTATAGCCTATACCATCGTTCCTAACCTCAGCCTATCCTGGTATTGCAACTGTGGGACCTGATGATCCAGATGTGGAGGAGGAAGACAGAACAGATTGTGATAAACAGTGGCCAGCACCAGGGGGACTTGGCCTGGGCCTCGGGTACACCTAGCCTGAGTAAATACCATTGTGTCTTGCTGACTAGCTATGCCAGATATGCCCTCTAAGGCAGAGCTCACCCAGCATGACCTCAGCTCTCTGCAGCAACTCCATACTACCTGAAGTTCTGGCCCACTCCCCTTGGAAATGGATGATTTGTTCCTGGCATATTCCATAGGCTTATTGTGGGATGAGGTCATAGCTGGGAAAGCATTTGGAGAGGCACAGCTCCATAGCATGGGGGAAGGGGGTAGTTTTTGCTCATGTCCATCCCTGGCTTCCCCAAAACAAAAACCTCACCACTAAGCTCAAGGATATGAGCTTGCTTCTGAAGGTAGTAGGAGGAGAAAACACAAGCAAGAAACTGCCTGGGCTTTCCCACTAGCAGGAGGCCCCCAAGTGCCAAAACAGAAGGGCCTCCTGCCCAGATCCCATCAGGCCCGCCTGGCATCTTTTTCTGTCAGCTGGACATCCATGGGCCTTGGTTCCTACAGGGGAGTAGCTCTGCTTTCCAGGTTAGCCTTAGTTTCTCCACGCTAAATCTAGATGGACCTGGTGCAAGTTGGTGGCCCCTGCTTGGAATTGGCCATCACTTATGGCCCCATTTCAGAAGTTTTGTAAAAGCATCTTTGACATGGTTCTGTCCCCTAGCTCTGATCACAATAGAGCTAGGACTCAAGGTTCTGGGAGGTAGTGGGTGTTTATATAAGTTGGAAAAGGGAGATAAATTGGAACTTCACCATCAGCACTGATGCTAGTTTTAGTATCGTCACTGTTGTGGTGGTGGTGGTTGGATAGAAAGATGCATCCCTGTATTCCTTTTCTGGGGAAGGTTGTTCATCACATATAGTTCTTGTGTCCAAATGAATATTCTGGGCAGAAGACAGCATTGTGACATGCATTCTCAGCAGTCTTCTGAGATGATCTGCAAAGTCCCAATGCCTGGCTCACATCACCAGCTTTGAGGTGAAGTGGTGCTCAGAACCTTTAGCCGTGCAGCCTGGGAGCAGCCAGGGCTGCAGGTGATAGAAGCTGGAGGTCCTCTGAGTGAAGCCATCACAGGGAAAGCCATCATGAGCAGGGAAAGCCCCATCATCCTCAGAATCACTTGCCCTCTCTTTAAAAAGAACCAACTTTAGTCTGATTCTTGTTAAAACGAGGGGGAAAATCCCCTTGAAATGATAATTCAGTGTTAATCTGTTTATTCATTATTGTGGTTTGAATGAGTTTTGGCTAGTTTTCTAAAAGCACCAGTCTTGGGTTAAAGGAAGAGGGAAAGGCAAAAGAAATGGGCACCTGAAGGGAATTGAAGACATGTTCACAGACAGAAGAGGAACACTGTGCTGATTTCTTTAGTTTGGCTCAGGATTGGCAGGCAGAGTGGCTATCTGCTTGAAGGATCCTATGATTTAGGGCTTTGTGACTCACTGTATGGAGGGAGATGTTGTTTATATGGTCTGAAGGACTCTTTGCCTTTTCAGCATAATCTTGCTTTCAAGGAACCTGATTACGCAGCCCAACTCAAATTCAGTTGTGCTGGAGAGACCAGTGCATCGCATATAAACAGAGAGTGCTGTGCCACACAGAAGCTGTGTTTAACCGATTATCAGATTAGTTAACCAGGGTACAGACATGGCTTAGACAGTTTATGAAAGGACTATTTTAAGTGTTTAATCCCTCAGTGTTATTTCTCAGTTCTTTGAGGACTTGGGTTTGGTAGGGGAGGACTGAGGAGCTTGTTCTGTTTTCACTCTTTATACTGGGCTAGGGAAAGGTGTGTGCACGTAGGTATGGTCATACATACGCTAACATGTGCCCTTCTGAGAGATATGATCTAAAACTAGCACCTACATATGATGGCCAATGGTGGGGTCAGGACTCCCCATTTTAACCAGTGAATTAACTTAGTTTGGTGATATCTGACATAGGGAGGGGCTATGCTTTCCCACAAAGGGTATTATTTATCCCTAAGGAAAGCTAGAAAGAATCAGAAGTCGGGCAGTTAGAAATCTGAAGAAGTTTTGATACTTTCCTTTGATTTAATATATCTAATACAACAAAGAAAAACGGTCATAGAGAAAGAGAACAAAAGGAGAAAGAAAAAAAATGGTTCTAATCACATGTCGAATTCTTCAGGTTTCCACAATCAATAAATTCTACACAGCTTATTCTGATCCAACTAAAAGTGAATTAAGGGATTACAGATGATTCAAAATGCATTTGAATAATCCCTTAGTGGAGGAGCAGAGGGACTCACAAAGTCCTCTATTTGAGATAGTAAATATTTTTAAAAGCCTACAATTTCTGTTAGCCACAGGAGCACAGGCATGGTTTAGACAGTTTATGAGTTTGTACTGCTTATCTGAAATTCCTGGAACCAAAAATGTTTCAGATTTTTCGAGCTTAGAGACATTTTACATAGGGTTTACTAATTGAATCCAGAAATCCAAAATGTTCTAGAACCTGAAACTTTTCGAATGTCATGTTGCCATATTTATAAAGTTTTGTAGCTAAGTTAAAGTGTGCTGTCCCCAACCCATCCCCCACCACAACCCCTAGGCTGTCCTAGAATTTGTGACAGTCCTCCTGCCTCAGCCTCCTGAGTGCTAAGAATGTCTTCATTAACAGTATAATTGATAATATTCTCCACCCAGACTCAAACATAAGTGTTATAGTCTGTTTCCCAAAATACTAAGCAACCCATTCATGAGCTATTATTTACTGAGCATCTGCCATGTATGTAATCCTATGCCAGGGACTATTATATCAAAGAAGGAAGAAATTATTCCTGATGGCTAATGGTTTAGAGCTTGGGATATAAGCAGCTTAATGAGCCACAGCAAATGCATAGTACAAAACAGAACATTTCATTCACTCAAAAGGAAGACAAAAGTTCTCAAGCAGTTTAAAATATGGCGTGTTCTTAAATTCACGTGAAGACGCCATCTAGTGGCCAAGTAGAGTAACTGTGCAGGACGCCTATCCATCAAGGAGACTAGAGAGCAGTTTTTCTAGAAAAAGCACATGAAATCCCACTGTGATTTTGTGAATTCTAGAGGTCTTTCTGTACCTTAGAAATACATATTAAAATCACATTAGTGAAGAAATTAATTTAATATTTATAGACAAAGAATTTGAGAGCAACCCTGTTTTGTCAATGGATTAAAACAACACAGGACATAACCAGGAGTTACAGTTAAGACAACCACATTCCAAATTTTGCGAGTAAGACAAGAGATTTAGGAGATGGCTCAGTGATTAAGAGTGCATACTTCTCTTGCAGAGGACCCAAGCTCAGTTCCCAGCACCCACGGCTGGTGGCTTACCCGTAACTCCAGCTCCAGGGGATCCAGCCTCTGGCCTCTGAGGGTATGGGTACTCACATAGACACACACACATAATTAAAAATAAATCTTTGGGTAAAAAAGATGGTGAATTCATTTTATTTAAAGAACTTAGAAACAATAAAGATAATGAAAGTGAGCAAAAAGTTGAGGATCATAAAGAGAATATCAATAAATAAAAATATAAAGACTGGGCCAGTGAGATGGTTCAGCAGGTAGAGGCACTTGCCACCAAGGCTGATGACCTGAGTTTAATCCCCAGAACCCACATAGTGGAAGGAGACTCCTTGAATTGTCTTTTGACCTCCTCACACCCCCATATTTGCAATGCCCCCCCCAACCCCACACAAAGAAGTATAACTTTAAAAAAAAAAGATAAAGAAGAATTGTAACACATATATGAAGACAGCTATAAGGTGTTTAAAAATCTGGGCATAAAATAGACTGACTTTAAACAAACTAATAGTAAAACATTATTTTCTTTTACTGTGTATTGGGGACACAAACTATTTTTCTGGTGTTTTAGAGGATAGATGTCATGTTAATTTCAGGGTAGTTTTTTCATACTAGGATATTGAATGTATTTTGGTTTTATACATAGTTTATACTAGGATATTGAATGTATTTTGGTTTTATACATAGTTTATTCTAAGTATTTTTGGCAGGCCTATTCATTAGCCTTTCTCTATACATCCAGTAGGGGAGTATAGAGAGTTTGTTTAGATTCAGTTAGAACTTTAATGTACTCTTCATGCACCTGTATCTGCTCAGCTGACAGTGTTCTGGAGCCAGCCCTAACTATATTTCAGTGTATTAAAAGTGCTCATATATGATCTGTCTCATCTAGACTGCTAGAAATACTCCCTGGGAGAGAGAACTCTATAAATTCTCTTTGGAATGTATTTCAAAGTTTACTAGATCTCACAGTTCAGAAAGTATTCCTTTACATAATCTGCTTCTTGCTTGCTACAATTCAAAGGAAATTTCTTCTTACTGCTTATGGGATTTTGTCTACTAAAATATGGCTGATGGCATAAAGAACAGGGTTGGTCCAGAATGTAGATGAGATGACCTTTCAGTGTGTGAATTCACCTCACAGGTCGCACATTGCATTGGCAGGATGGAAACTGATTTTCTATTCACTACAGAGCTGTTTGTATAGATTTCATATAACTGGACAATATTTTAGGACTGTACAAGGCCTAAGGACTGTTATTTAAAGCAAACACAATCTGGATTGAAATATATTAAAATGACTATTTCTTAAAAATCTGAGTTAGTGAATAATCTAGATATTAAGGAAATGCATCATCAAAGCTTATAAATTTACAGAAATTAAAATGAATAAATCAAGGGTTGTTAGAGTATGGAAAGAAGAGTGAACTCTAAAAGTATTTATTAGTGAAAACATTGTTAGGAAAACAAGCAGGTGGTTAAGAAATGCTTAAAAATTTTTCATCCTTTTAAAGAGTTCAAATGCTCTCTCCCCATCTTGTTTGCATGGTTAATTTATTTAGCAAATCCTTTACTGCTGGAGGAAACCACACCCAGGCCTTCCTAGTCTCCAGGCGGTGGCATCTGAAGGCTAGGATCTCAGCTGTCCCTCCCATGGGCTGCTGATGGTGGTCACAAGCTAAAAAGAATTAAGAGGGAGTCCTGCCCTATAAGGCAGCTGGCTGTCTTCTTCTGCCTCTTGAAGGAACAGAGAATAATTTCCTTCCTAGCCCTCTCTTTCAAGTAGTCCATTTTAAACACCACTTCTATACACCACACCCTATTTGTAGGGGGGGGGGTGTACAGGCCCTGAGGGGCTGCTCACCTGTACACATGTCAGGTGTCCTCCTCTGCCACCCTTCACCTTGTTTGTTGAGACAGCATCTTTCAGTGAACCTGGAACTTACTGTTTTGATGTGAGTGCTGGGGGTCTTCCAGGCTTTCACAGTAATTTACTCGCTGAGCCATCTCTCCAGCCGCACTTCTAGACATTCTTAAGGATAAAGAGCAATTGGGTGCAATGAAGAAGTAGTTTCACATTTTACAGACACAACTCACTCTGAAAGCCAAAACCAGAGGCTTAGCCCATATACTTAGAGTAACACTGACTTCAAAACACAACCCTGTTTCTGGGTATTGTCTGTTTCCTCTTTTCCTTCCTCTCCTGCCTCCTCGTAGTCCACTGAGCTGCTCCCTGCATCTTTGGTCTACTTCTTTTTCCACTTATTATTAAAAAAGTATCTGATGTTGTCCTCAGCTTTGAAATCTGGTAAATTAAGTCTTTTTACATTTCTTTCCTCTTAGAACAGCCCTACTGAGCTGATTTTCAAATTTATGGGTGATCTCAAACTAATTCTTTTCTCTGTGAGTCAAGGGTCTCTAATTAGGAAGAAAGAAATGGTTCCTCTGCCCTGATGGAGAGAACAGATACCACTCTTATCACAGTCCTGCTCCGGCAGAGCCAGGGAAATGGTCGGGGAAGGCCCCGGGCGCGGTAGCAGTGACCCTATAAACAAGTGAGGTTCTTAACCTTCCTGCGGCGTCAGTGGGCCTGCCATTGGGGGCGAATGACCATTCGCTTTAGGTTGGGGTTTCCTGGCTTTGTGAAGTTTGACAACTCGAACGTTCCTCAATTGTGTTTGGGATATGTGCATTTCCCAGTTTTTACAGTAGTCTGTTTAGGAATGAAGAGGGAAACATTAATATTTATTTTAACTGACAAGATAAATGCAAACTGCTAGCAGGAAGATAACTGGCAATTCTGAAATCTGGGTTTGTTTGTGCGCTTCCAAAACATACCCATTGTGTGCCTTTGAATAGATGATACGCTAATTAGATAAAACATCTTATTATGAGGTAGATTATAATATTTACTTGAAGCATTTTGATTTAAAGATCCTAATCATGAAAGAAAATGTGATTCCTTCAGGAAACAGAATCATCTCTTTCCTAAAATACCAGTAGATCCATTTTTGAGAGTTTCTAGAGAATTCTAAATCTGCCCAGTTTGACTGGCAAATCAGTGACTATAAGTGGTCATCCTGTCATCACTGTAGTCCTGATTCCCAGGCAAAGTTTGAAATGCATTTGACCTAACTGGAAAGCCATCTGGTTGTAGTTCTAAATCTGCCCAGTTTGACTGGCAAATCAGTGACTATAAGTGGTCATCCTGTCATCACTGTAGTCCTGATTCCCAGGCAAAGTTTGAAATGTGGTCATCCTGTCATCACTGTAGTCCTGATTCCCAGGCAAAGTTTGAAATGCATTTGACCTAACTGGAAAGCCATCTGGTTGTAGGGCCAACATTGCTTCTCTCCTCATTATTTCTGAATCTTCACCTCAGCTAAAGTGGCCTTGGGTGCCAGCCCCAGGGTCAAGGCTAAAGGTACCATGTCCATAGCCAGTGAGCCTAGAGAACAAGTGAGGGAACATCCCTCCTGCTTTGAAACTGGTCAAAGTCTGGCTGGAGAAACCTCCACAGAGCTGCATCAACCATGTTTAAGCCTTTTAGCCAGTGGAGCTTCCCCCCCCCACCCTTTGTTTGACAAAGACTTTGACCTCCAGCATCTCCTCCAAACAGAGAACTGCCTCTTCTTTGTTTACTTCAATACCAGGCATCATACAGAATGGAGAAATGACAAATTAAAGATTATAAGGGACTGCACACACAGAGAGGTGCAGTGTATGTGCATTGAAATGGTTATTCTTGCTGGAGAAAGAGGAACAGATGGTTAGGGGTATTGGGGTGGCAAAAAGTGTGGCCCCTGAGTTCAGGGGCTCACAGCATAGGATGTGAAGACACAAAGGCATCCTTCCTGGGGACACTGCACATGCCCTTTAGGACTTGTAAGGGTTGAAGGACTTGGAGAGGGCTCTGCAGAGAAAGTGAGACATGGAGCCAACCCTGCGAGGGTCAGGGCTTGCAGAAGATAGGAGAGGAGGCCAGAGCAGAGCACACATGTTACACTGCAAATTAGCTGGAAATCAAAGTGCTTAGAAACTGAGACTGGATTCTGGGGAGACCTGGAAGCTGGGCAGTTTGCCCTTGATGTGGGGGCAATAGGGACAACTACAGGTGTTTAGCCCAGGAAGTGGCAGGCTAAACAATATTTTAGAAGGATTTAGTCTGTCTGCTGCATGCATGTCACCCCGTATGGAGGGAATGAGTTTTTCAGGACAGGACTGTGCCCAGAGGCCATGTGTAGGATTGTCATAATGAGCCCCTAGCATCAATTCTAACTTGTGATATGCCAAGTAAACGGGACAGTGCACTTGTGAGAAAATGTGGAAGGTGAGACACAGTAAGTAGGAAGGACCTGTGATACAGATGGCAGCCAGTTCCAGTGGTCTGTCTGGGCCAGGGCTTTGTCCAGTGAAAGACTTAAGAGGGCTTAAGTACTTCTCCATGGCTCTCTGTATTTACTTCTCCCTGCCTATTTCCCACCCACACCAGACACTGCAGAATGAACACAGCCACATTTGGTATAGCCATGCCCTGGCCTGGCCTTGCCACCTATGTATCATAGAGGGCTGATTTTATGTTTCTCCGTCTCAGAAACCTATATCCACTCCTTTCCTGGAGATAGGAAGGGATGAACAGAAGCAGACACTGGACACGCATCTGATGTCCAAGGGTACCTGAGGTCACAGGTGGCACCTGAGAAGAATCCAAGGAGTGATGCTGGAGCACAGGTGGCTCTTCCTGTCTGGCTCCTCCCCACCTGGGCCACAGGATTCCTACTTCAACATGCCTCACTCTTACTAGAGAGAACTTGAGCTGGTAGTCAGAACTGATCCTAGATACTTGGGTAGACATCAAGTCAATTCTCTGCCCTCCTGGATCTCCACTTACTCATCTGTGGAAACTGGGAGGTGGGGCTGTGTGAACCCCCTCCCCTTAGTATTCTTAGAGAGCAGGCTATGTGTACAGTGGGGTCCTCTGAACAGGACCTCAGCAAGGGCAGGAAATGTGGGGTGGTTGGGTGAACCCACAGTTGCAGATTGAGTGTGATGGGGTTTTGCTTGAATAAATAAACAGTATGACCAGGGCGTCTACTTTTTATTTTTTTCAGTTTAGCTTCTTAAGCCCCTGCCTGTATGCTATGCAAAGTTCGCATGGTCTTTCTTCCTCAACTTCTGGTTTCTTTTTAATTCAGAATCACGGAACTGATTGGTTACCACCCTGAGGAACTGCTTGGTCGCTCAGCCTATGAGTTCTACCATGCTCTGGATTCAGAAAGCATGACCAAAAGTCACCAGAACTGTAAGTTCCAGGAATACCTGATGGGTATATGTCTGTGCAGTCTGGCCCTGAGGGATGTGATTGACAAGACAGTGTGCCCTGTTAATTCCTTCCCAGAGCCACCTTCTTGTGTGGCAGATAAATAATACGCATTTAAGATGGTCTGAGAACCACAGCTGCCAGGAGCCTATAAGCACTTTTATGCAAATTAATAAAAGGCCCCTTCCTTGAAGGGGACAGGCACAAGGCAAGCACACAGTGTAGAGGACAGGTTGAATCTCAGGACCCACATTCCACCTCTGCTGAGTATTAGGCAGTCACTAGACTATACAACCCTCAGGGGTACCCATGGAGAGAGTATATAAGACAGTGTATAAAACTTGGGTATGCACTACAGCAGCAGGTGCCTGTATACAAGAGGAGGTCTGGGAGAATTAAGGAAAGAAGAAAAGAGGCATGCATTAGATTATTCTTAAGGGTTGGAGAGAATGGGGCTAAACAGGGCAAATTCATAGTTGTTAAGAGAAGGCTATCCGGACAGCACAGTGTAGGTGTATGGCAAAAGCCTGCATAGTGAAGGAATTCTAGAGCAGAGTTGGCCAGTAGAACCCTCTGTCCTAGAAATGTTCTGTGTCTTGCACAGGCCACACATAGACTGTACAGTACTTGAAATGTGGCCAGTGCAACGAGAAAGTGATTTTTGGACAGAGTGGTTCTATACTGTTCACTTGGCCAGGTTCCCAGTTCAGTCTTCCCCTTTGGAGATGGTCCAGGGTAATTTCTTTGAATCCATACAACCCATCAACATGCAAGGAACTTTGTACTTGACATCTGAGGACTAGGGAGTAGTAGACTTAATCTGTACCCTAAGGGATCGTGTTTCTGAAGAAAAAAGGACTGGGCTCCTTGGGAGCTGGGTAGCCCAAACCTCAGTATCTCTCGTAATGTCAGGAGCAATATGAACACTAAGGGAATGATAATCCCATGAATCAAACTGTATTTGGGGAAGAGAACTTCCAAGCATGCCACAGTGGTGCAGACAGGGGTGCTGCTGAGAGGGTAGTTCAGGAGAATTCAGACTGGGTAAAATCTGAGGCACTTCCCAGTGGCCCTACTGGCAATATAGGAAGTGGAAGGGCAGCTATCTGTGGTTCCTAAGTCCCACCCCTCCCTTCCACCCTCCATCCCACTGTCAGGACAGCTGAAGCTCAGAGCAACCAACTGAGCGGCAACTCCAACAAGTTGTGTGTAAACACCCTTTGCTCTCTTAAAGAATAAGAACTTGTCTTTCAGATTGGTCCTGCTGTTTCTTCCTTGCAACCTTTGGCTTTCATCTGATCTTATAAAACAGCAGAGACCATTATGATATCTCAGACAAGTCTCCCATGGTGATATCTGGTAGAAAAAAAAAAAAAAAACCCTAAACATAAAACTAGACCCAGCCCCACTTTGGGATGCCATGACTAGACCAGCAGGAGACTGCAGGGTGTGGCTCCAGCCTTCTCTTGGGGGGGTTCTTGTTCCCAAAGCAGGTTGGTAGAGACACACAAGCACTGTAGTCTGCCAAGTTTTGGCCCAACTGACCTGCTAAGTTCCCCGGGGCTTGGCTTCTTGGACCTCTGGGCCTTTACATGTGAAACTGGGAGAAAGTACGGCCTTCTAAACCAAGGGGTCAGTCCATGTAGGGGACACATGTTTTTAAAAGTATTCTTGAGAATTCTTGGAGGGCAGTACTTTTTCTTCTGGGGAGGGACAAGTGGAAGAAGCGACTGTGGAAAGGAACAAAAATGACTTGTAGAACATGAGGCATTTGAAAGATCCACCTTGCTTGGTAGAACTCCTTTGATCTATAAAAAGAGCTAGCATAAAAGCTTGTCTTAGGAGTTTTCAGCTGACCCCTGGGGGAAATGTGCTGGAAATTTTTTTGATTGTTTGGTTGGAGTTTTCGTTTTTGTTTTTACTGAATTCATATATTGAAGCCCTAGGCGTACTTAAACGTAGCTCACTATCCAAATAGAAAGCACAGACTGTTTTCTTCCCCCAGTAGAGTTAAGTAAAGTTGCCCTGAGTACAGAGGCCTCTGCTCAGTCAACAGGCCTGTATCCAGCAAAGCCAAGTCTGCATGGGCTGGAAATAGGGTCAATGTCAATTGTGACAGGGGTCTCCAGAGTACTCTGCCCTTCCTGCCGCCCCCCAGTAGACTCACACTCATTCTGTGAAGTAACTGGAGGCTCCGGTTTGAGGCAGATACAGGTTTATACACTGGAGTCTGAAATTCACCCATGCATGTCTCAGCCTGTTCGTGTTTCCCATCGAAATGCCTGGGGAAGCTCAGTCCTGGACCAGATTTAGATAATTGAAAGGCATCATTTCCAAATGGATTAATAATTTATACATTACTACTCTCAAAGGAGGGATCTAGGTGGCTTCTCTTTGTTGTATGAGGACATTATGTGCTCTTAGGAAAACAAGATTAAAGGCCATAAAAAGCCTATCTCCCTACCAAGTAGCAGGCCCCTCACCAAGGCTGGTATTAATGAGCAGATGATTGGAAAGCTGGTGTGAATTAGATTCTACTGATAGAGCAGGTCCTTGCCTGCAATTACCAGAATGCAGTTAAAACCTCTGGTTAGAGAACTGGTTAATCAAAAAGAATAAAAGCCCTGAATTTGGTTTGTCTTAGAAACTGTCTAAATAAGTCAATTCCAGACTTGAAATTGTACAAGAATCCTTTCACTACAGGCAGATTACCTCCAGAGCACCAAGAAAGGGACAGTAGAGAAGACAAAAGTTCCTTCTTTGGTCACAGAGTTTAAGACAGTGGCCACAGCAAACTTTGTCTTCTCACTTATTTCTGGCTCAGAGTAATGCGGTCAGAGAGCATTGTCCTGGGACTCATAAGACCTGTTATCTAAACTCTATCACTATTGTCCTGTACAGTGTGAAACAAGTGTGAAACAAGTCACAGTCGTTCTCCGTAGTTGCCTCATGTTAAAAGATGGTATCTGTCCTTACAGCACAGGGTTTTGTTTAAAAGATTAGATTATGTTGATATGACCACTTTGGAAAAATGATTTGGCAATTTCTGACAATATAAAATTTCTTAGCACATAATTCAAAAGTTTCACTCCTAGCTGTACCCATGAGAAGTGAAAACATGTTCCTACAAAGATTTGTACACAAGTGTCTATTGCAGCTTTATTCCCAACAATTGAGAACTCAGACAAATGGATAAACTTGTCATGGTATGCCCATACAACAGAATACTACTCCTCCATGAACAGGAATGAATCAGAAACACCTACAACAACATGAACCTCAAAAGCATGGTGGGCACATGTAATCATGGTGGGCACATGTAATGAAACCAGACACAAGAAAGCACATACTCTTACGTGATCCCATTTCTGTGAAAACTTAAAAAGGATAAGACATGGATGACAGAAAAAGATCAGTGGTTCTGGAACCAGAAGTAGGAATAAGGATTAGTTACCAGGAAGCATAAGGGCCTTGGGGGTGATGGAGTTCTGCATCTTCACTGTGGTCATAGCTACATAGGTGTTTACATCTGTCAAAACTCAGTACACTACATGCTTAAGATGGGTGCATGACTATGGAAGATAAATTAAAATTCAGTAGTCTGTTTTTTAAAATGAAAGGCAAATAAAGCATGGGGTAGGAATTTAATTTAGACTCTAATCCTGTGCACCGCTCCCATGGAAGGAGCCTTTCAGCAAATCACCAATAATGTTAAGCCAAAAGGATCTGCATGGGCTGCAGTTTCTGATGTGAAGCAGTAATATTAGCTCATGACATTTCTTGTTAAGTGAGGCAGCAATGACACTGGTCCCATGGGTGCTCCATGTGCCAGACACTGATCTAACTGGCATGCAGACATGAGTTCATCTGATGAGACAGTTTGGGGGCCTGCAGACCACTATACACATGTAAGTTCCAGTAATTCCTGCACATTGTTGATGCTTGTTAAAATTTTTAAAAGGACAAAAGGCATCAAACAAGAATTGCAACAGAATTACTGTGAACCAGGCCATGTTCCTCTACCATACAGGGCTGATAGGGAAGTGGGGGATGGTGGGGGGATGGGACGGGACTATGTCTACCTGCTGATTTTCATAGGGCCCCTGGAGGCATTGTCTATAAATAGTTACAAGTACATGCTAGCTCTGTGGCAGGACCTGAGCACAGGAAATCAGTGCTTAGAGGTGACTCTTCTAAACATCATTTGTGTAGGTGATAGGCAAATCCATCTGGTTCTCAGTACTAACAGTAGAGGCATCCTGGACAGCTAATAATGACAGTAATTAGCATAACTACTATTAGTCTCAATGCCCCACTTGCAAAGGAAGAAACCACACCAGGGTTGCTTCTTCCTGAAAGTCCCCAAGCCAGCAAGACTTCCTGACCCTTTCATCATGCTTCTCCCCAGTTCTGGGGGGCTTCTGGACTGGAGCTCAGAACAATGGACACTTAAAAAGGTACCAGAAATTTCTAAAATTGGTAGACACCCATGGAAAGGGATTTCTTAATCTCTTTCTAACAAAACAATGGATTCTGAAAGGGGGAAGAGTCTAAGACAGTCTAAGATGTAGACTTTGTGTTTTCAGACAGTAACAACACATGTGTAATAAACAGAACAATCTAGAAGAGGAAAGGTGTTATATAGGCCTGCAGCCCCACTGGGCAGTTGGAAAGCAGAGTTTAAAGAACTTATGACTTAGGAGGAGGCTATGAGGCAGCTACTGGGTCCCCAGGTCTTTCTTGACCCTAGCTGAAGTCAGGTGATTTTTCTCGGGGACTGTCTCTGTCCCCAAAGTAATAGGCCTAACAGCTGATCTGGAAAGTTCAAGGGTAGCATTTTATAAAAACAAACTTCAGCTGGGCCTTGTGGCACAAGCCTGAGTCCCAGTTACCAAGAGGCTAAGGCAGGAGAATCATTAAGTTCGATGTGCAGTGTCTACTTGGGTTGCCAAGTGAGTTCAAGGCCAACCTGGGCAACTTACTGAGACCTTGTCTCAAAATAAAATGCAGAAAGTGTTGGGGATGCAGCTTCATAGTAGAGTGCTTGGCTAGAAGCGTGAGGCCCTCTGTTCTACCTTTCACAAGCAGAGATTGGTGACAGGTCTGCTGCAGAGGGTATCCCTGTTTAGCTTTCTCCAAGCTGCATGCGTGGTGGGTGAAACATGTGAGGAAAGTAGGGTGGGTGCTGCTCTTGGCTCTGCTTACAGCTGAGGTGTAAGGAAGTCTGAAGGCAAGGGCTGGTGACCGGCCATGGCAAAACTGTAGAGTGGGTCACTCTCTCACTAGGCCGGCAAGTCATCTACTTTCCAGCTGGGGTCAAAAAAGACCTAGGGACCCAGCAGCCTCCTCCTAAGTCATAAGTTCTTTAAATCCTGCATCCTAGTCCTCTTTTCAAAATGAAGAGATGGCTGAAATAAGCTCCAACCCTCCCTCATAGCTACTTTCCCCAGTCTTTCGTGTCCATCTGTCAGTTCTGTCCATCTCTCTGTAGATGGGCCTCCCTGTGGAGTCTCTGTATATATGGTACCCACTGCTATCTCCCTTTGACCTTAGGTTCTCTTTCTTCTCCCCTAGTGTGCACCAAGGGGCAGGTGGTGTCTGGTCAATACCGGATGCTAGCCAAGCACGGGGGCTATGTGTGGCTGGAAACCCAGGGGACAGTCATCTACAACCCCCGCAACCTACAGCCCCAGTGTATCATGTGTGTCAACTATGTCCTGAGGTGAGTACAGTGGGGGCTGGTAGGCCTTGAGCCAGATGTATAAGGTGCTTAAGAACCAAGGGCCCAGGGAGCACCCAGGCTCTCAGTACTCTGGGCACAACATCAAAGAGCTCTTTGCCACGTAAATCCTTCTAATGGAAGGATTTGGCTGTCTTAAGGAGGATGGAGTCCTGGAGCTGTCTTTTGCCTCTTCCCCCTGTTCTATTATGGTATCATGTCTCTAACCCATGTTGAGAGGGAGCAGATTGCAACACAGTGTTTGCTTAATCGTTTTTGAATGGAAAACAAGATAATTGGTGGTACTTTGGGGGAAAAGCAGATGCTATGCCTTCCCTCCACCACCTCTGGGAAGAACGTAGGAGGCAGTCCAGCATGAGGCAAACAGGCATGAGCAACCAGGCCTCTCGTACCACCATCTCAAGCATCTGAAACAGCTTATGCGTAGGGGGTGCTCTGATGTGTCTGCCTCCAGGATTCAGGCTTCCATCATGAGACTCTTTCCAGAATGCCAATGGTATTTCTGCCTGTCTTTTTTTGTTTTAGAGGTTTGGCTCTCAGGGTTTCTGTATCTAGGAGAACCAAAGGCTTTTACTAGAAAATGCAGAAGCTCTGAAAGCTCTCTCATCCCACTAGTGAGATTGAGAAGAACAACGTGGTGTTCTCCATGGATCAGACTGAATCCCTGTTCAAGCCCCACCTGATGGCCATGAACAGCATCTTTGACAGCAGTAGCAAGATGGACATGTCTGAGAAGAGTAACTACCTGTTCACCAAGCTGAAGGAGGAGCCTGAGGAGCTGGCCCAGCTGGCTCCCACCCCGGGAGATGCCATCATTTCTCTGGATTTTGGTGGGTACTTCCTAGCCTAGTTGGACCCATGGAACTGTCTTAGATTTGGGGAGTTATTGTTATAAGCTCTCCTCAGCTATAACTTCTTCAAACCAGAGTGGCCCTTTTCCTTTGTTCATGTCTTGCTATTCACCTGTTCATGGCTAGGCTCTACTAGACACAAAAGAACCACAGCTTCCCAGGCTACTCAGTAATAAGTCCTTTTGAGGGGTTGAAGGAGGTGGGTTATTATAAGGTTCCTTCTTAAGGGGTCCATTTTCCACCTGAGAGTCTGAGCTGGGAGAGAGAGAGAGAGTGCACTCTCTCTGGACTTTGTCCTGGAGAGAAAGTGGATCCTTTTGTGTGTCTTAAAGGCCGCTCACTTAGGTGGAGGCCTGAGTTGGAACAGTAGTAAGGACTATGCCAGGAACACCATGGAAAACAGCTTCAGGCTGGGGGTTAAGCCCTCAATAGCATCTGCATTAGCACGTTTACTGTCTCACTCGGATGCAAGTCACTGTGGTCCAGGCAGAGCTCTCAGGCATCCCTAGCTTCTCTCCTTGAAGTACCAAAGGCTGGCCTCTTCCCCAGTTTGCCACCCTCCCCTACCCATCTGTGAGTACTGAGAATCACTAAACCTATCTGCACTCACTTTTGACATTGCTACCTCAGAGAATGATGAAGGGCAACAGGCCCTTGCAAGATACATTGTAGCCCTTAGTTTTTACTGAGGCAAATGGCTCAATTCTCTGGTAACTTCATCTTTTACATCCTGGATTGCTCTTCAGGGAAAAGCTGCTTCTAGTGAGTTTAGTCTCTGAAAGTCAAATGTTTTCAGAAATTTCTCCCTTTATAGGGGGACTCCACATTGAGTCATATTCTGGTCTGAGCTGTTTGACCCTAGCTAGGCTCCAGGTCAACTAAGAGTCTCACCCCAGACCGACTCAGGACCTTTTGTGCAACCTCTGGGCTGAGCCTAGTTGTCATGCATGTTCATCAAGCAGGCCTTGTCTTCACAGGGAACCAGAACTTTGAAGAGTCATCAGCCTATGGCAAGGCCATCCTGCCCCCAGGCCAGCCATGGGCTGCAGAGCTGAGGAGACACATTGCTCAGAGTGAGTCTGGAAGTCTGCCTGCCTTCACTGTACCCCAGCCAGGTGCCCCAGGGAACACCACCCCCAGTGCCACAAGCAGCAGCAGCTGCTCTACGGTGAGTCCCCACCTTCCAGGGAGCACGTAGAAGCAGTGGGCTCTTCATCCTCTGCTGCCATATGGCTGAAGAGACACTCTAGCCAGAAACACTACCCCCCTTTCAAGTTATTATAGTCCTGAGCATGGCAGGGACACTCATTCACCAGGGATCAGTACTAACTTCCGGCTTTAATATCCTTCCCCCACCCCAGTTAAAGTACTAGCCTGAAAGTGCAGTAAGCACCTAGCTTGGTCCCTGTGCAAACCCACTGCTACAGTCATGGAGCCCTGATGGCCACAGCCTCTATCCTATTTGCTCCTGAAGACACCCTAGGAAATGGCATGACCTTCACTTATGAGGATACTGAGGTTCAAAGAAGTTGATGAACTGACCTGTTTCACAGTTTTTAAGTAGTAGCCCCTCTGTAATACTTGGTGGAAAGGGGTGGGATGGGTCCAGGAACATGCTTGCTGGACTTTTGAAGAGGTAAGTTCCATGTCCTTATCTTGGTCCCTCCCTCCTGGCCCCCAGCCTAGCAGCCCTGAAGACTATTACACATCTCTGGAAGACCACTTGAAGATTGAAGTGATCGAGAAGCTCTTTGCCATGGACACAGAGGCCAAGGACCAGTGCAACACCAAAGTAGGTGTCATGTGGGTGGCAAAGGCTCCTCCTGTCCATCACTTTGCTAAGACCCCTAGAATGCTGCGCAAAGGTGCAGGGACAGGAAGCTTGTCAGTATCATTCTCCCATTTTGCCCTCAATTCTGTTTTTCCATTTCTAACTCAACTTCATCACCTCCTTACTTGGACTACTGTCTTTGTACACATGCAAAATCAGAACCAAACCACTGGACTTTTCAGGTTTAGTTTTGCTTTTTGAGTATGAGTGTTTTCCTTCATATGTGCATGTATGTCATGTGCATGTCCTGGTGTCTATAAAAGGATCAAAAGAGGGCATTGGATCCCCTGGAGCTAGAGTTATGGATGATTGGGTGCTGTGAACCAAACCCAGATCCTCTGTAAGAGCAGCCAGTGCTCTAAACCACTGAGCCATCTCTCCAGCCCCACCACTGAACTTTTAAGGAAACATGCCCAAATTCATAAAATATTTCTAACCCTAGAGCAGTTACTCCCTTCATCCTGTAATCTTTAATCATTTTTCTTTTGAAAGACCTGACAAATACGTTCCTGAATTGTATATAAATGAACCCCGGAGACAATCGCCCCATTTCGGCCTTAGCTTGCGTTCTTCACCCAGGGTTCCACCCTGTTCTTTGGTATGTGCCTTCAGCCTACCCAGCAGAGGTTCTTAATCTTCTGCAAAACTTTTTTCTATACAACTTTTAATTGAATTTCATACCTTACTAACCCCCACCAAATATATATATATATATATGCCTATAGAGTCAGGTTTACATCCCAAATGCCCTTCAGTGTAGGTTCATCTACTGGAGCCTGGTCAACCTACTAACAGTCTCACCCTTTAACGTGACTGAATCTCCCCTTCCTAGAAGTCATTGGTTGCCAACAGTTCCTCAGGTAGGGTTGAGGAACTATTCTTACCCACTTCCCCATGTCTGTGCTGGGATTTTGTCTGGCTTGAGCTTATGTGAGACTTGTCTGTGCTGTGAGTTCATATAAGTAACTTCCCAGCTATCTGGAAAACTGTTTCCTTGTGGTCATCCACTATCTCTGACTCTTAAAATCTTTCAGTCCCCGCTTCTGCAATGAACCCCAAGGCTTGGGAGGCAGAAGTTTGATATAGGTGTCCTGCAGCCTCTTACTCTCCACACGTTGGACCAGCTGTGGTTCTCTGTGTTAATCACCATCTGCCGTAGAGAGTTGAGAGATTCTGCAAAAATTTTAATTCTATGTGCCTCTTTTTCCTAGGAGCGTCTGTGGGATATCTTATTACAAGCAGGCAGTCCTGCTTAAATACCATCTCCTATAGTTGTGATGGGTACTAAGCTCTATCTGCAGTGAGGGGTCAGTCACAGAAGGTCATAGCTGTTTTGTGTGTCTGTTTCTGGGTGTTGTGTTCTCATGGCATTCTCTTTGCTGTATATTGTACCTTAATGCAGGCCAGGGCCTGTGAGAGAGGTGAGGACAAGCTGCCCTCCTTCCCCAGAAGTTATAGCAACCCCTGTAACTGGAGGCAGTGGGGTTACAAGAGAAGGCAGGTTTGGACAGATAGAATGGAGAGAGCCGGGCATCTGGGATGGAGGACACACGAGTGGAGCATGGAGGCTCGCAGTACAGGGTAAAGAAGGGATGACTGTGGAAGGTTAATATCACGACAGAAATTCTAGCACACTCAATGGCTAAGTACTAGTAGGGAATTGGCTCTGTGATGCTGTGCTTGAGTGGAATAGCTCTGGGGGGGACAAAGGCTGACCTGGCCTCAACTAAGTCTTGCTCCATCTTTCCTCAGACAGACTTCAATGAGCTGGATTTAGAGACTCTGGCACCCTACATCCCCATGGATGGGGAGGACTTCCAGCTAAGCCCCATCTGCCCAGAGGAACCCCACATGCCAGAGGGCCCCCAGCCTACCCCCCAGCACTGCTTCAGTGCCATGACAAGCATCTTCCAGCCTCTGGCCCCTGGGGGCACCCACAGCCCCTTTCTTCTGGACAAGTACCAGCTGGAGAACACGAAGACAGAGCCTGAGCACTGGCCCATGTCCTCCATCTTCACTGATGCTGGGAGCAAGGGGTCCCTGCCCCCATGCTGTGGCCAGGCCAGCACTCCTCTCTCTTCTATGGGGGGCAGATCCAACACTCAGTGGCCCCCAGACCCACCATTACATTTTGGGCCCACGAAGTGGCCTGTTGGAGACCAGAACAATGAATCCTTGGGGGCTCTGCCATTGGGGCCATCACAGTTGGAGCCCTCCATCACCTCGCCCCATGTCTCCATGTTCAAAATGAGGTCAGCACCAGATGTATGTCATTTGGCCATACTGGGCAGAGAGGGGACAAGCACCCCTTCTGACATTTAAGAAGTTAGGCTGACAGTGTGAGGGCTAGACCCGTGGGAGAGAGAAGTGGCTTGAATACACTAAAATCCTGCTGTCTACCTTTAAGTCACCCCAAAGGTACCTTTCTTACCTGGATTCATTTTAAGAAATCCTTGCTAAGAAAAAGGAGGTGCTCCTGCTTTCTGCCTGGGCTTCTACTTTTTAACAGCCACTGCAGGACACGCTCAGGTCCCAGCATCATCCTGTCTCCCCAGCAGGCGCCATTTCAACCTACTGGGAGCTTACTGGGTTAGGTAGCTGGTGTGTGCTGGTACCTCACTGAGGCACATGCCCATTGCAGAGGGCCCCAGCTGATCCCCTGGGCGGCAGGGGGCGGGGGCAGTCAGAAGAAATCTTCCTAGAGACTGCTGTAATATAGCAGGGCAGCCACCATGAGGGCAGACTAGCTAAGGTGGGACAGGTACTCTGCCCTTTGGGTCTACAAGTCACCCCCATTCTTTTGGGTTCACAGGTCTGCAAAAGACTTTGGGGGTCGGGCCCCATTCATGATGAGCCCAGCCATGATAGCCCTCTCCAACAAACTGAAGCTGAAGCGACAGCTGGAGTATGAGGAGCAAGCCTTCCAGGATGCAAGTGAGGTGAGTTTTCTCCTTACTGTGAACACCATGGCTCCTTGAAGACTAGTGGGGTTAGGGCAGAGATGCAGGTAACTCAGTCTGCCTGTAGAGGTGGCTCCCTGGGCCCTCTTCCAACAGCTACTCTTCCTTCCTGCAGGGGGACCCTCCAGGTGCCAGCAGTAGTTCCCATCTGATGTGGAAACGCATGAAAAGCCTCATGGGTGGGACCTGTCCTTTGATTCAGAGCAAGCCCCTCAATGCAAATGTGCCTCCTGGTGAGTAGGCCTGCCCCAGGGGGACTAATGGAGGGCTGGGGACTCGGGCCCATGCCATGAGCATGTTCTGCGGTCCTCCATGCCTTCTGCAAAAGAAAAAGCAGGCTGGGAGCCATAGCCTGTCCTCTTAGACGGCACCCCACTCACTTGCTCTGGCCTCCATCTTCCAGATGAATTCATCCAAAACCCCATGAGAGGCCTGAGCCAGCCATTGAGACACCTGCCACCACTGCAGCCTCCATCTGCCATGAGCCCAGAGGAGAATGCCAAGAGTGGGTTCTCCCCACAGTGCTACCCCTCCCAGTTCCAGGACTACAGTCCACCGGCAGCTCAAAAGGTGTCAGGTGGGTCTGGGAGTTGGCATTATAACCAGGATCTGATGAACATTGAAGGCCTGACTGGGCAGGAAACTGAAGGATAGCCACCCTATGTATCAGCTTAGCATGTGGAAATGGATTACCTGCAGAGCCCATGCCCAGGCTAGAGGCAGCATGCTAGGTGCAGTCCTATGGACTCCATGCTCAGCCACAGCTGCCTAAGGATGGGTTACCGAGGCCTAAGCCTTCTAGTATTCCAGGATCTTCATAGGGCCATGCCCCAGCAAGTATTGGGCAGTGACTTGCTCATAAAGCCCCTTGCAGCACTCCAGACTCCCTCAGTTGAGAATCTGAGCTGAGAGAGGGGGAGGAGAAAGGCCTCTCTGGATGTCGTCCAGAGAGAGGGCACATCTTACAGTTGCTTCTGACCAACCAGGCCTTCCAGAGGGTGGGTCTAAAACCTTAGTTCATGAAGCTTCTCTAGCCTAAGAAAGGAATGGTTAGGATGGTGAGGAGCCCAAAGTTAAAGGGGAGAGTTAAGGACAGATTCAGAATGGAGAGGGATAGACAAGGACCAGAACATGGTCATCACAAGGTAGCCAGTGCCAGCCATGGAATTGAGGCTGCCTGGAAGGCCTCGTGTCTAGTGCTTTAAAAGGAATATCCCAATAATTAGGTCAGGCTCATGGTACCCTGAGATCAAGAGCCTGTGCTTCTTCCTCAGCTCCTCACTGTGCTGTATATCTGAAAAGCACACACGGCGGCCAGAAGCATTTCTCTGAGAGCATGTACAGAGCACTCACTGCCAGGAGGGGAAACCTGAAGATGCCCTCCTCTGGGCTTTCTTTTGGAAGGTTTAGCTAAGGTCACTGAAACGTAGCTGTGTCCTCACAAAGGCCTCCATTTGGCATGAATAATTTGTAGTTCTGAAAAAGCATGCCAGACTCTTGTCCACCATAGTAGACTTTGTGGAAAATGATAGTTTTTGTGCTTAGAGCTCAGGTCATTCTGGAATTGCAGTTTACCAGTGGTAGGACTGATAGGCCAGGAAATTTAAAGGCGAGAACTGCATGTCATGCCCTCACTAGTACACATTTATATCCAGTCAACAAATGACAGGCAAGTTTCCTCAACTGTTGAAATCAAATCAAAAATCATTTCAACCCGGATCATTTCTGACCATGACTAAAAGAAGAGGGGAAATCCACAAGGGTGTGTGGGGGGAGGGGGTTGCATGGTGATCTATTGATACCATCCTGCATCTGTCCCCTCTTCCTTGGGTCTTCGCACAACTGAGGTGTGTTCTCTCCTGGCTTTATCCTCTGAGAAGGATCCAGTAAAGAGGGTGTCCCCTCTGCAGTTCCTTGCCTGCAAGCTGGAGACGCCTTTCTTTCTGTGTGTGCCTTCTCCTCCCTGTCTCTAGTGGACCAGGCCCTGGGCCAGTGTTTGGGTCGGGCTTTTAAAATATGGTACCACCCCTTCTTTCAGGCATAACAAGCCGACTGCTGGGGCCATCATTTGAGCCCTACCTGTTGCCGGAACTGACCAGGTATGACTGTGAGGTGAATGTCCCTGTGCCAGGAAGCTCTACTCTCCTGCAAGGAAGGGACCTCCTCAGAGCCCTGGATCAGGCCACCTGAGCCAGGGCCTTTGGCCGGGCATGCCCCTGCCAGCCTGTCCTGCCAGCTTCACCTTACGTCTGTGTTGCTACTAGGTATTTCTAACACCAGCACACTTCCTACAAGATGTATTTACCTGGCTGATTTGACCCGGTCACCAAGCAGAGTGGCCTTTTTCTGAGATTCTCACTTTATTTTCTGTGTTTTCAAAATACGTAGTTGTTTTACCTGCTATTTCACTGTCGATGAAAATGTTCTAAAATTTTATAAGATTTCCTCTCCCTCCCTTGAATTACTTCTAATTTATATTACCCGAAGTCTCCCCTCACGTGCAGCACCAGTACTAACAAGCGTGGTGGATGCTGGCTCTCCTCCGAAGGAAAGCTTTGGCTTCATTCAACTCAAAAGTGTTTTTGTCATTGTTGTTGCCAAAGAGAAATGAAAAGGATTTTGCTTTCCAAGCTCTGTTTGTGGCTTCCCTCCCTTTTTACGACTAATCACCATATTGTAAATTTTAGTGTTTTTTAAAAAGACAGTTCTTTGTGCTGATTTTGATACGACTTATGGGGCAAAAGAGCAATGTGAAGGGTAAACTCCAGTGTGCCGTTAGCTGTGAAAGTTACACAGTGTGGCTCCTCCTAAACTGTTTGGTGCCCTCTCCACCATCTCGCCCCAGGCCCAGGGGAGTTTTTAATTGTCATTCAAAAGCATAACAGTTTTTTAAAGGAAAATTTCTATCGGGGTTTAGTGTTTATCATATATATGGGTACTCTGTAATATCTAAAAACTTAGACATGGAAATGGAATCCTGCTCACAAAATCACTTAAAATCTTCTTAGAGCTGTTAATTTGATTCTTCTCGGTGCTGTGGACACTGCGGAACTGTACAGTACTCCCACAGGCCTGTGCTAACACTCTACAGATCTCTCTGGTGACTTTGTGCTTTATGCCATAGGTGTGACAAACAATCCCAGGAGTGGAGTCCTTAAGGGGGAGCATTGCGAGCTCTCTTCTCATTGTGTTCTCTATGTATTATGTATGTATGTATTGTTGCTGCCATGAGGGTCTGATGGCACGTGGGGGTGGGGGTGGGGAGGAAGCGCTTTAACTTTTCTTCAGGTGTTGCTAGCCCTTCAAGTGCACTGAGCTATGTGACTCCAATGATCTCTCACACGGCACATTGGAATATTTCCACAACTGCCATGAAATGGTTTTGATGGGAATTCATGAAGCAAGTGAGGATTCAGAAATGATGTGATGGCCCAGTCCTTGTCCTCCTAGCTCGAGGCTATGGAGCTGGACTGAGAGAGGGTGCCAGGTGGACGGCTGTGGGTCTGACCAGTCCTGCACCCCACCCATCCCCAACTTGCGGGGTAGAAGACCCTGCTAGGCCAAGGTGCAGCGCTCCCTGTTGGCAAGCAGCAGGCAGACCTCTAGGGACAGCCCCTAGCTGAGGTCTCTGTCACAGGAAGTGACATGTATAGGTAGGAAGCACTGAAAACAGTGTTCCCAGAGCACTTTGTAACTCACTGGGAAGAGGGGCGACACCTTTGGGTTTTTAAATGCCAGTCGACATGGGACTTTGCTGACTTGGGTACAATAAAACTGCAATCTAAATGCACACAAAGCACATCAGGCAAGAATATGGTAAGCCCAGATGGACTTACTGCCAAAACAAAAATTCACTTTCACAATAAATCTGTGTCATAGGAATAAAATTACCTAGGCAAGGTGTCGCCCACATCACACATTGGCAGAACTTGAAGGGTTACTGACATGTAAATGCTGGTATTTGATTTCCTGTGTTTGTTGCCCCAGCATTAAGGGCATTTTCCCTTTGCAGTTTTACTAAAACACTCTGAAAAATATTCCAAGCTTCATATTAACCTTACCTGTCAATGTAATTACTTCATGAACATTATTTACATTGTCAAATCTCTACTGACAACATTGTAACTGTATGGGAGCTTAACTTTATAAGGAAATGTATTTTGACACTGATATCTTATTAAAGTATTCTGATCCTATCACTGCTGGTGGCTTTTATTTCCTGTGTATTTATCATAGACTGCACCGATGGAGAATGAGGTACTTGTAGAGTTTACAGAAAATGAACATTGGCACTGACCTTGACCAGATGACTGAGGCCAACCAACAGGAAGGTTGATAAAGGATGGAAAGTGTTAGTACTTGGCTACTGCCTGAGCCCAGGAAGCCACACTCTGTCTTCTGTATTCCCTCAGGGCCCCTTTTGCTATATGCTATGGGGAACCCAAGGAAAAGCCACGGTATCTCTCTCTAGAAATCCACACAAGGCACTGAGGATCCTGCTGGCCTATGTGTGTTCACACTGCACATTGAGTAGAGGTTCCAAAGAGAAGGGAAGCCTGGGTTGTGGTCAGAAAGGAATCAATTTAGAGATAGCTCTGTCATGGCCTTCCTAGGTAGATTGTAGATGGAAAAGATTGCTTCAGTAGAGACAGATGCAGCAGAAGCCCAGAACTGAGGGTGGACCTGATGGGCTCCCTATTCCAAATGTGACTTGTGTCACACCCCCTGGTGAGCAGGCAGGTCTTTCTGGTTGGAGGAGGGGGCAGCCAGCTGTATCTCTGCTTTCATATGGAGTTCTAGAACCAGCTATTCTAGCATCTCCTTGTCACCTGATGGCTGGATTCATACTTTGTGGGTTCATGTTACTCCATTAGCTTCCATCAGCCTAAGTGATGGTGTGAACACCCATTTTACAGATGATACCAGGATTCATGGGTGACTGCCTTACACAGCTTGTTTATAGGAGAAATGGAGTTCAAATCTAGTGCTTCTCTCATGCAATAAGACCCTGTTTTCATTTTCAAATAGAAAACTATTGCCTGTATTAGTTTAACTTTTAGACTTCCTTCTGTTTTGTTTGTTTGTTTGTTTGTTTGCCATTCTTTTTTCTTCCATGCCTTGGCATCTGGACCTTGAGGTGGATTATATGGGCCCTGCCAAACTCCTGCAACATTGTCTCCTCTCTTAGGCTTCCTGAAAGCCCTCACCTTTTTTATTTCTGAAGCTCTTAGAATGATACATCTCATCCCACCTCAAAGTGTAGGTGGTTTGTCTTGGTTTGGCTTTAACTATAACCAAGGCTGTGATTGGCCCTCCAGGCCCTGATGGGGAAGGGAACAGTACCCAATGCCTCTTACTTCCAAGTCCATCAAACAAGCAAAAGGGGAGCCTGCAATGCCTTTGTTCCGGTGGATGAGAAGGAGCTTGGTCCTCTCCAGGGTGTGTAAGCACAAGGCTCAGAACCCACACCAGCCACCACTCCTTTGTGTTTCATCAGCATCCAGTAGAGGCTCTGACTTGAATGTTCCTGATTTCATATTTTGGTTTTCAAAACACAGATGGTTTGGGAGCAGGAACAGGAGCCTTGCATAAAACTGGCAGTTGTTGAGTTCTTGGGCTCTTCCTGACTGTAGATATGTTTTCCTCTCATTGGGATATGTGATGTCTCAGCATTGTCCTAGCTGATAGCCTCCAGATCAGAACTCTTGCTGGGAGGAAGACTCAGACCCAAGGTTGGAGTACCAGGAAGTCCCATCGACTCAGTGGAAGTGGGCCAATCTGGTCCCCTCAATGCAGAACAATTGGTCTAGTTCACAGTTTAGCTGAGGGCAAGCTGAACTGTGATTTAAATGAAGATAAAGATATGATGCAGACTCATTTCCTTTATGATATGCAAGTTCAAACCATCTCCTGTCGTCTTCTCTTGGCCTGCCCTTCCTATGCTTTTGTGAAAAAGAACTTACACTTTGTAGAAGAGTGGTCATATTACCCTGATCTTTCTTCTCCGAAACAGGCACAACCCAGGATCTGTAAGACAGGGCTGGATGTGTTAATGCAAATTGAAGATATAGAAGCCTAAAGGGGCCCTAACCTAAATTCATCCTCTAAGTTTTCAACTTCTATATTTTATAGATAAGGAGATAGAAGTCTAGAGAAGCAAAGCCACTAAGTGACTTCCTTACAGTCACACAGAGACTGAGCAACAGGGCTGGGATCAGAGTCCAGGCCAGTATCATAGAGACAGGGACCAATATCCTCTGCCCCTGGAATCAGTTCTCAATTTCTCATCCAGTAGACAAGCCTCCCATACATCCCTTCCCCAGCACTGCCTCACAGGTCCCCAGCCTCTTCCTGTTCCTTCCTAAAGGGTACTTTCAATTCTTCTAAAATGATTAAAGTATCACCATTATTTCTTCAAATTATTCCTTTAAACCCAGTGACCCCTTTGGGAACTTCTTAGCATCTATGACCTCAGTAAAGTCTAAATTCCTTTCCTTGTCTCTTCGGTCTCTCAGAACCTAGAGGAAAGGTCTTGGAGTACACATATACACTGTTCTAAAATGAGACATTCAGACAAGTCGTAATTTCCAAAAGCTTACTAGCAAGTAGAACAAACAAAACAAGCTGTCTCAGACCACATGAGGTGGTATATGACCACAGAGGCCCAAGGCCCTTGTTTTCCCTGAAGTCCCAGCGCTAGATCCTGTGCTTCAGCATCCCCAAGGGTGAATTTGTACTTGGGTCAAGAGCCCCTGTTATGGGTTCAGATGTGAGATTATTACAATACTTGGGAAATGGAAGCAGGAGGAACAGGAGTTCAAGACCAGCCTTGGCTATATAGTAAGTTTGAGGTCAGGCTGGGATACATGAGAATTTGTCTCAAAAAAGAAAGAATTCATTCCAAATGCAAGTGGGCCCCAGATGGACAGCAGCTCCTGGGAGGTACAGGGAAGGCCAGCCTGAGACTCAGAAGTGGGGGATTCCTCACTATAGATGAAGAATAGGATTCGAGGTAAACATGTGGGAAGAAGTCATTCCAGAAGTGGAAACAAACACAAAGCCAGACTTTTGGAGCACCTGCAGCAGACCCTGGGGTGGGATGCAGGACTCGGGGGGTGGGGGGGGGCGGGGCTGGTCCAAAGTCCTGTGGATTTGTGGTGGGAAGATGATGAACAAGCTCTAGTCTATCCCCCAGCAATATGGGGAGCAAACCATTAGCTGAGAGAATGGAGAGCTGTTAGAGGTTTGAGGAGACAGAAGTATGAAATAGTCATTTTAGAAAGTAAGATTGATGGTCAATGTTGAAAATGCAAATGAGATTGATGGCCTGGCACCTCCCAGGCCTTGTGTCAGACAGACCTGGCTTCGAATCCCAGCTGTGTTTCTAGCTTACCTCATGTAGATTTCTTATCCCTGAAGACCTGTGTCTGCTGTTCCATACAATGGACACGAAGATGTTCTCTACTTCATGGGTCTGGAGTGGAGATACAAACTTGAAGAGACACAGTAGGCAGGTGGTACTTAAATTCATAAGATGGGATGAGCTACACTTATGAGAGTGTAGACGAAGGAGTGCAGAGGTCCTAGGAAAGGGCCCTAGGCCACCTAAGTACCAAAAGAAATAAGCCTAAGGGGAAATAGCCAGCAACAAGGCTTAGCGGGAGCCACTGGTGAACAGTGAGGGTGGGAACCGGGTAAGAGAAGAGGTGCACTCTGGAATTGCTATTGAAGATCACTGTCAGCCTTAAAAAGAGCAATCTGGGTGGGGAGTTGAGGACAGGAGCTTGTTGGGAGCCAGTTGAGGAGTGAGCAGGCTGGCGAAGGGATGCAGAGACCGTAGCACTATAACTCTTCCAAGAAGTTGGTTCCCTTTGAGGGAGAACAGAGAAAAGAAGTAAAGCTGGAAAGGAGACATGGGTCGTAGGAATACGTGAGCTTTTAATTTTAATAGTCAATAAATTTCCGAATAGTTTTAGCTTTATAGAAAGTCAAAAGAATGTTAAACCATTTCCTGCCCCTAGTTTTCCCCAGTGTTAACATTCCTGTTGTACATGTCACAATTCATGAACCAACATTGGTACATTACTATTGCCTAAAGTTTGTACTTTTATTTCCTTCGTTTTTAACCCTCATGTCTTCCTTTCTTCTTTCTCTGCCCTTTTTTATTCTGTTTTAGGATTCTATCCAAGACACATTTAGCAATCATGTCTTCTTAAGTTTCTCCTAAACTCTTCTGTGTTTTCGATAGCCTTGGAAGTTTTGAGAAGTACTTGTCAGGTATTTTGGAGACCATCCTTTAATTTGGATGTGTCTCTTGTTTTTCTGACTAGGCTTGAGGAGGGAGACCTCAAAGTCTAACTGTTACTCTTATCACCCTGTATCACGTGTTATCAACACAACTTATCACAACTGACATGAATCTTGATTGTTTTGCTGAAGTTGTGTTTGTCAGAATTCCCCACCGTAAAGTTACTGGGTTTTTCAGGGGGTGTTGTGTTTGCAAATGAGATGTATTAGGAAAGGTTTACATGCTGGTGTTAGAGGGAGCCCCTGATGAAGGCAGGAAAGAGAAGAAAAAAACTGCAGCAAAGCAGATGGAAAGGTGGGATGGGTACTGATGAAACTCAGTACACCACGGAAGGAGGAGGCTGGCTTGGGATAGAGGCAGAGGCAGCTCATCACTCTGACAGAGGGACAACAGAGTTGGAAAAGGACATAGTAAGTCAAGTGGAGCTGGTGGTGGGAAGATGATAAACAAGTTCCAGTCTAATTGATTCTTGATTCTAACCCTCATTGAGACAGGAAGCAAACCATGAGCTGAGACAAATAGGGGAAGTGGGAGGCTATCAGAGGTTTGAGGAGACAGACCTCAAACAGTCATTTGAGAAGGTTGGGTTGATAGTGTTAGAAGCACAAATGAGGTTTATAATCATATATTGACCTATCATCTCAGTTGGCCCATTTCTCTCCAATTACAACTTCTAATGAAGGCAGAGGGTGAATAGTTGAGTCCACCAGAGAAGGAGGGCTCAACAAGGTAGATATATTAGAGGGAGTAAAAATGTAAAGAGGGCCTGCAAGATGGATCAGTGGGTGAAAGCACTTGCTGCCAAACCTAACAACCTGAGTTCTGTCCCCAGAACTCAGTTCAATTCGTGGAACTCATACGGTAGAAGAAGAGCGCCAGCTCCTGGACCCA